GTTATAAAACCTCACAGAACAACACTATCCACAGAAATCAACCGTATCGTCTCTTAAAATATTGCCAGATATGCTAACTGCACAAAGCAAGTACAAGAGGGGAATAGGGACCCCAAGATAGGGGAGAACAAAATGACTGGATATATATTTAGCTGCCTGTACACATAAGTTCTAAATAATCAAGAGATATCTAACCAATAAATGGTAAAACTAGACGCAGTAACAGAAATTTCTCCTACTTGACCGTCACTGTCTATTCTAAAGTGAAACTTTTCCACTAAGGATCAGATAAAGTTTCCTGATGCTTAGCTTCCTGAGTAATCCTATGTAATACAAGCCTAATATGCTGTGTCCAACCGTTCGTTCGACCTGTCACTATGACACGCCCTGACCACCAGGGGGCAGACGCTCCGACCAGTAGGTTAGCTTGCTGCTGGGGTCTGGCTGATCAGGACTGGGCAAGACGGGCCGGACATGCCCTGGAGCCCTCCCACAGTCCCTCCCTGGCCCCAGTTGTGCACCGGTGGGATCCCCCGGCCTGGCCTGCGCCCTCTGGCAATCAGGACCCCTTGGGGGATGTCGGAGAGCTGGTTTCAGCCTGATCCCCACAGGCCAGGCCGAGGGACCCCACCAGTGCAGGAATCTGTGCACCAGGCCTCTAGTTTCCTATAAACACTGAATATTTTATAAAAATCCTTACGAAATTTCAGTAACTTTGGAGTGCATGCTATAGAAACAAACTGTATTATGAAATTTAATTCTACAGTTTTGGGGGGGGCTAACACTTGGTCCTTACCATTTGAAATAAGCAACATTATAATATTACGGAATTACTGACTTCTTCCAATGTCTGAATCCCTGCCCCTGCCTTTGTTCAAGTGTCGGGGGTGGGGGGGGGGGTGGAACTCTGACAGACAAGCAGATGGGCAGACATCACCTGTGTGGCCACCTCACCTCCCTGGCTTGTCTCCCAAACTGCCCAGCACACTGAGTTCTCTAAATGAATGTAAGAGTAGAATTAGGACAAATACAATCCAAAGAAATCACTCAACATCGGCTACAGAATGTCTTTTCTGACTTAAAAATCAGGACAAATTAGGTTAGGATGAAAGCCTGGTGTCACCAGAACTGTATTTAGGATGCATAAAGCACTCATCTGTTCAGCAGACACTGGCTGAGTTTCCAGCATGTACCAGGCACTGGCTAAATATTGGCCTACACAGCAACAAAGCAGAACTCCCGGCTTTGACAGATGGACATTTTTGCACGTCTGGAGTCGCCAACTGAAGTAATCTTTTCATTGAAGGCAACACTTAAATACCTAATGTTTATGGTTTGTTTCTAACAGTTATATCAGAATTTCCTAAGAACTTTACCAACAGCGTATAAACAACAAAGTGGTTACTACCCTACCTCAGCCCAAAGCAGACACAGAAGAACATGGAATTCAAATGAACACTACATAAATGATGCCTGCACAAATACTACTTTCTTGCTGTTGTCAGTCCTCACCCAAGGATATCTTTCCATTGATTTTTTTTTTTTTTAGAGAGAGAGAGTGGAAGGGAGGGAGAGAGACAGAGAGAGACGTGGATTGGGTGCCTCCCACACAGGCCCTGCAACCAGGTACAGGCCCTTGGCTGGAATGGAAACCTTCAGTCCGCAGTCCGACGCTCTCGGGCTACACACACCTTCTTAAACACACCAGGTTAGTCAGTCCCACATACCGAGGGGTTTGACTTTAGATGATAAAACACGCAAAAAGCTTCTGCGGGGGATAAATGTGCAGTGTCCGTTGTTCTGCACCATTCATTCCAGAGTTTAGCACAACCGACTTCTTCCCAGACTCCTGAATTCATAACAAATGACGACAAAAATGCTGTAAAAACAATTCACAGGAGTTAGTATTTGGCTCTGCAGGTTGCATTTTCTAGTCAATAAAAAATACATTCATTCAAGTTACTCTAGAATTTTAGAGCTAAAGGGGCCATTCTAGGCCACCAACTTTACACTAGCATTTAGCAGAAAAGGAAACTAAGGCCGTAAGAAGTAAAAGGCCATGCCCTGAGTACAGATGGGGTCAGAGCCAGGAGCTGGAAAGGGTTACTGACCCACGTTACTGTGCTCTCACAGGCAACACTTACCTGGAAAGTTGTAGCCAGTAGAACGTTAACATAAATGAGTCGGTAGTTGTTTACCTTGTACTTGCTCTGCGAACACTAGGGCTAACTTACAGGACAAAGATCTGGACTGGAATCCCGAGTGCTCTCCTTGAGCCCAAGAAGCCCCTGAAATCATACAGGGTTGCACATGCACGTGCATACTGTCCTAGCTGCACCCTGCACTGCTCTAACTTTAACTTCTCAAACGGATTCATTTATGGAAAGACCTTAGAACTTAAGTACTCAAAATGTTAGTGATTACTGTTATTTCTAGAGTTCTCATTATGTTCTTAAAGGGGCCTGTTAACTGAAAAGCATTTAAGAACCACTGCTACAAGGGGGTTCATATACACATGCCCCCTCTGCCCCTCCAGGTCTGGTCAAAACAGGCCCTGGAACTTATGGAATCCTAGGGACCTGAACACACTGGAACCAATTCCTTGAGTTTTTAAGTCCCTAAAGCCAAGAACATTTCCTTTTAATCATATTTTTTAAGCTTATCAAAAAGACAGTGCCACATGAATGACAGATTTTACTTGAATACAAGTTATTCTCTAATGAGTTTTTCTTAAAAAATAACAAACATTTGAAATCTTTTCTGATAAAAATAAATCAGTAAATTGAGCTTTTATTCTTTCAACAAAATGTCTAGTCTAATGCATTTCCACTCACCTACTGCATTGTTTCCTACGGCAATTATAAACTTGGAGCAAGAATATTTTTCCAGCAGAGAAACTTCCAAAGATGTTTTTGTTTGTCTTCGAAAGAGCCGCACCTCCCTAACACAAGAAACAAAAGACGAAACTAAAGTAGCTTACATATAAAGAGTGCCTTATTATGATTAAAAAACACTTACTAGCCCTAGTCGGTTTGGCTCCACGGGCGGCCTGCGGACTGAAGGGTCCCAGGTTCGATTCCGGTCAGGGCACAGGCCCGGGTTGCAAGCTCGATCCCCAGCGCGGGGGCCTGCAGGAGGCAGCCGATCAGTGATTCTCTCTCATCATTGATGTTTCTAACTCTCTCTCCCTCTTCCTTCCTCTCTAAAATCAATAAAAATATATTTTTTTTAAAAAAACACTTACTAGAAGTATGACTTTTGTATGAAGCAACATACCTGTTTTGGTTTTATAAAGAACATAATTATAAGCCTCAGCAAACAATGGAATCGGGTGATGACAACAGAGAAAACCATCCCACACCAAGTTCCCGGAGAACTCGACCCCAGAGATCAGGCTGTTCCCCCACCGCCCTCGGCCCCCCTAAAAGCAGGGCACCACCCACCACCTTCCACGCTTTCTTGCCGGCAAAACCTTCAACCAGAACCTGATCCAGCCTCCAGAAGGAACTTCCACTTCCGGGAAGTGCAGGCGACAAATACGACGTGTTAAAGGGCACAACAGGAAGCATCGGACACCCCCGGGCCGTGGGACAGCCTATGGGACACCCAGGACACCCAGCCTCGCGCGGGGAGAGGGAGGGCGGCTGCTCCACCTGACAGCAAGCTGGAGAAACAAGGCGGGAGGACCCTGATGTACGCAAACGCCCCGGAAAATGTCACGTCTGAGACAACGGATCACAAACTATTAGTGTTGTCAGGGGGGCGGGTAGCAGCATAGAAGCAAACGCCTGCGGCGTCTGAGATGCATTCCGAAACACGCCCGGTGAAAGGCACGGTCACGGCGACCTGCTTGCGGGTGGAGGGAGAGGAAGGTGGCCAAGCCTCCCTCTCGCCAATTTCTCCCACGTGTGTGTATTTGGGAAGAACGCTTTTCAAAACAAGACACGCACCTGCCGCTGGCCCGCAATGCTAACTGAGGCGTGGGGCGGAGAAGACAGTTGTAAGGGAGCTGTGTTGTGTCCGTGACCCAGATACAGGGCAAACTTGGGGCGCGAAGAGGCAGCCCCGCCGCCGGGAAGAGGTAACTAGTGGGCAGGAAGCCCCTGAGCCAGTGCTGCGGGGAGGCGAGCGGGCCGGCGCTTTCAAGGACACGTGAATCCCACCGCCCACGGAGACCGCAGCGGGCCCACCGCCCTGCGGCTGGAGCAGCCGGACCACCGGGGCCTTCCCAAGGCCCCGGGCAGCGCAACCACCGAGGTCCCGCGCGCCCGGGGGAGGGACCCACGGCCGCAGGCCCGCGCGCGCCGCCCGCTCCCCGAGCCAGGACCTCACCTCTTCCGCGCCAGCTGCCGCCGCACCTCCCTGTCCTCGGGCGTCTCTGTCCTCCCCTCGGCTTCTTCCTCTTCGTCCTCCGTCCCGGCTCGGCACGGCGCCTTCACCACTTCCCCGAAGAACGTGGCCGCCATGCTGTCCCTCCCACCCGCCCCGCCTAACTGCGGCGCCACGGGACTGCGCCTGCGCCGCCTGCGCCGCCTACGCCTGCGCCAACCCCGCCCCCCGCGCACGCGCGCCAGCACATAGCCGCGCCCTCCGGCCACCGCCCCCCGAGCCCCGCCCCTAAGTGCGGCCGCCCGCTGCCACGCCCCCTGCGCCGCCTCCGCGCACGCGCCCTGGGACCCTGGGGGGTCGCGCAAAACTAGAGCTTTTCCCTCCGCCTGAGCTGGGCGGGGAGGCCTGGGAGGCTGAGACGAGAGGGGGCGCGGGGCGGGGACTCCTGTGCGGACAGGTAGCCGGCTGGGGAAGGGTAGGCGCCAGCCCCCATCCCAGGCTGTGGCTGTGGGTCCCTCTGCCTCCCTCCCTTGCTGTTTCCGTCTCCCTCCTCCCTCCGGAGGGACAGGGCGAGCGTTGGTGATGAGTCGCCCGGCTCCTCCGCGCGCTCCCCGCCCGGGATGGTGGGCAGGGAAGGCGGGCGGGAGGGCAGGAAGGAACACTGCGCTCCGGAGGGTATAAACATGAGACCTTTACTCTGCAGGAGGAATTCACATTTCAAAAGCTGGTGGTCGTCAAGCTGATGTGAAAGACTATGAGACTGCAAAAATATGAGCTGCTTTTTAAAAACGTGGCCATTTCTAATACAAAATTTGCTTCCGCTTTCAACAGCCTTTCACTTACAAGCAAAGTGTTTTAATTGGTTCTCTTTCAAATTTGCTGGCAGACAGTTCACAGAGCACTATTCCAAGCAGGAGGAAAAAGGACAACTGTACCATAGTTAAAACAACAGCGAAAATATCCGGAATTGCAATGGAAACATTTTAAAAACACATTTACCTAGATTCAGTTGGGCTGAAACTACATGGCACTGCTTACATTTTGGAATGTTATCCATAAATAATCCCGAACTAAGTACTAATTTGGGGTCGGGGGAGCCTCCTGAGACAATCAAAAAAACCTCAGAAAGTTCCTAGAAACATCTTGCTTTTAGGATGTGGAGACACTGATCAACAAAAGCATTTACATAAAACCAATATTTAGCAGTTTTACACATTACTGCAAAATATAAGGCTGGACTTCAAAGCAAAATTTGAACACAAGTGTAAACAGTAAGACCCAATTCCTATCCTGCAAGAGCTTAGGAAACTTCAGTGAGCTAGAATAGACAAGATTACCAATGTGATGTTTTAAAACTGCATTAAGACTCCTGGGTTAATTGGCTTTATAGAATGACTGAATTACAAAATAAAAGGTTTTGGTATCACTTTGTCCTAGCCCCTTTGTTAAATAAAATAATGTCAATTTTACTATTAAGATCTTCAATTTGATTTCGTAATTATAAAGAAATCATTTCTAAAAGCTGATTGAAATTATAAATAGGGTAATGATAATACATTTGCCCGTGATTAAAATTTTGCATACCTTTTAGAGAGCATTTTACAAGAATGTTAAGATTCAAACAAAAGCTTATTTCATGCAGTTACAATAAGTTTAGGCTGAGCACTTAAAAAAAGGCAAATATATGTTCAAATTAAATACTAAATCAGAGAAGGGTACTGACAGAAATTAACCCAACCACAATAAATTATAAATTCAAAATTGAAATCCTTTCATTACACTGAAATGGTCAACACCTTTTACATAAAGTAATCTTAACTGAGACAACTATTTTCATTTTGTGGTATTTATTAATTATATACCCAATAAAAAATTTCTATGAAATTAAGTGTAAATATGGGACTGGAAATAGGTTTAATTTCATTAGATATCAAAAAGCAAAGCCCATGCACCTAAAAGTTTTATTTATTTGGAATTCTCCCCTTCCTCACCTGCACTAGTAACAAGACACTGGTATCAGTATTTCAGATGAAAGTATGCTATAAACAGAACAAAGGACACGAACTGTAGGGTAGAAATATTCTGGCTTATGCTAAGAAAAAGAAAACAACAAAAAAAGCCTTTTTTTAAGTAGACATGCAACCACAAATTTCTCAAGAAATCTAAGACACTTGGCCAATCTGTGTAACAAAACAAAACAAAAAAAGCATTACATTAATCTTTTAAAGAAAAAGGAATAGAAACCCTTAGGTTTCCATATTTTACTTTTTCAGATTTACACATGCAAATCATATTAATATTCACAGATATTTTTCAATGGGAAACACCAATAATTCAGTTTTCCAATAGCATGTGCTATGTTAAAGATTTGACAGTGCATTCATTTAATCTGGTGATTTTCATTTCAGTAAATACCTATTAACAAATTATACTTCAAGCCAAAGAAATTCTTTATAATATCAAAACCAGATTTCTAATCCTGTTTAAAGCCACAATGAAATAACCCAGACACACTGCCATTAAAGTTTGTTGTGATGAGACTGTAATAAATGTGCTCTGTGTTCGTAAAGTTCTAACACTTAAGGTGCTATAGAGAAATATAAGAGGATGTTACTCTATCATCTAAAAATATGACTCTTTTGATCTTGATCTGTATTTTGTGTTTTCTAACTTATTAAAACTGAGACCTGCCTCATAATGAGGCACATTTTGGCATCTGTGTAAATGCTGCTACCTGAAAGTAAAAATGAGGAAAAGAAGTTGTGAGTCACATTCATGGGTTTCATAGAAAAATATATATTCCCTGAATCAGTCATATCAAGTGGTCATCATTCAATATGAATTCCAATATTATAAACAAAATAAAACATTAATGGATTCCCTCTATTTCCAACACTACTTCAGAACTCGGATTATTAAAACCCCGGGATTACCAAATCCTCAAGTCCTCGTTGGCTTTGGGGTTGTGAATTGGAGGGACTGCATCTTGCTGGAGTACATATTTGCTTCATTCAAAAGTCAAATATGCTCAATGGCACTTCGTGAAATGTGCCTAATTTGTATTTTAATAATGACATCATGGTCGTGGTGAGTCTGAGTTTTTATACTCTAATGCAAAACCCTTAAAATTAGCAGGCCGGGATTTTGAATTTTTTTATTCCTTTAGGTTTTTGCTGTAGACCCTATACACTTCCCATTATAGTTGACCCTCCATATCCAAGGGTTCTGCATCTGGGGCTTTAACCAACCACAACTCAAGAATATGCTACTAGGGGAAAAGCCACATTGTTGCTGATCTGTACTATGTAGTTAGGCCAACCACCGTTGCTTTGTAGACTTCCCTGTTATTAGTCCTAAATAGTACAGTATAACAACTATTTGCATAGCATCTACATTGGACTAGGTATAAGTAGAGAGGATTTAAAGTATATGGGAGAATGTGTGTCCGTTATATAAATACCACACCATTTTATAGAAGGGACTTGAGCATCTGTGGATTTTGGGAAGTCCTGGAACCAACCCCACCCCCTGGGATATGGAGGGACAACTGTATTTTCTTCCTCTTAGGAATCAAGAAATTTCTCCAAGACCCTTCCTTCTGAAAAGGGATAATTTTATGAGCGGTCCTTAGTCTTTTCTGTCTGCCTCTCCAACCATCAGCTTCACACACAGAGCTATTTCCTCTGCAGAATTCTTTGTAGTGTCTGTACAAAAACTCACTGAGAGGAAGCCTTCCTGGGACCCACTGTGACTCTCTGGATTATGGTTTTCAGAAAATTCCTCGGAACGTGCCAACAAGGGGTTAACTTTAGAGCTAGGAGCAGAATGCAACTGCCAGTTTCCTCATGGCCCGTTTCAATTCCACACACACATTTTCATAGTCACTACTTTTTCTTTCCAGGATCTGATCTGACTAAAACAAAAGCATTTTGCTATTAGTATCTTCTAGCTCTTTTTCACTCTCTGAATTTATACTTGTATCATCCTCTTTATACACATTCAGTAATTTTTTCTTAGCCGCAGCAGAAGCATTTCGATGGGGCAGTTTTCTGCTACTCTTCCTAATCCAGACACTTTCTGGTCCTGAAATCGTTTCCTTTAGATTACTCATTATCTTTATTTTATTGGCAGCAACAGCAGCACATCTGCGGGGAACTCTCCCAGGCACCATTTTTGCTCTCAGAGTGTCACTGGGCATTTGCACTGCATCCTTCTGATTATGCAAACATGTTCTCATTTTTGTATTGGGATCTCTGTCTCTAGGAACAAATTCTGAAAAACGAGTGAAAGTTCATGTAAATGCAAAAATCTTGTAGCACAAGATTTTACTACTTACATTCCTCAGCAATACATTCCTAAACAATAAATTGCAAAATTACTCACATTGCTAAATAAAAACATAAGTGATCATCAAATACGACACGTCTTTGACCTTGATATAACCTTGCATTGCTTTACCTACAAAAGGAAGTCTTGAGTAAGAGCTGCGATTCCTCCACCTGGCATTAAATCATCTGTAAGGATAACGATCACTTCAAACAGTAGCGGACTTGTGAGAATGGAGTTAAGTACTTTCAGCATCAAAGTCATTAATTTAAAATCTGAATTTTTAAAATGGAACCATATATAGGTTTTAAGTTTTGGTATCATTTCCAGCACTCCATGTTGAACTACTTTAAAACATTCAATAGGAGTTCTGAAATAATTTTTCTAGAACCTAAACAAGGAGGAAATACCATCATGACATGATGACCCAGCATCAGCACTATTACAAGACCCTTGTTAAGGGTTTAACTCTAATTAATACCAGTATTTCCTTTGGTTAAAGAAAAAAATTGGTTAGTAGATAAAAAGGAATTTTATATTGTTTTACAGAAATGTGGTTTTAATCCTAGATTAATTTTTTTCCAAATATTTGAGCATTTCATTTAACTGGAATTGTTAAATCCTAGTCTCATTATTCGAGTATTTTCTGAGCTAGGCATGTACCAGGCACACAGAGGATCAGGGTAAAAATTCAGAAGCAAACTAATCTACATACATGTAAGCACAATGGTTGTGCAGAACTAGTAGTGCGGTGCTGTGAGAACATATTCTAGAAACCACCCTCCACTAAGGGGCAAGGAAGGCTTCCTTTAAGGAAGTGTCCTTGTAGCCAGGAACTAGCAGTGGAGGGTCCGCCAGACAAAGGGTAGGACAGAGAGCCCGGGAAGGCAAGTCCTCCGTCACGCTGTGCTGAGCTGAGCTGTGCTGAGACGGTGGGCCTACTACCTACTTACTCCACGTTTAGCAATTTCGGTGGAGCCAAAGCTAGACCTTCACATTTCAAACACAAGATGAATTAGCCCTCTTCTAGGGCAGACATATTTCTTGATAAAAATGCATCCTAAGCTCATTAACCCCTGAATGTTAGGCCTTATCTTTTGGCAGCCTAGTCTTGAAGTCATTAAGAATAAACTGTCAGTGTGGTTCAGTGGTTGAGTGTCAACCTATGAACTCAGGTCGCCACAGTTCGATCCCCAGTCTGCTTCATTTCTCCGCAGAGCACATGCCCTGGGCTGAAGGCTCCATCCCCGATGGGGGCTTGCAGGAGGCAGCCAAACAATGTTGATGCTCCTCTCTCATCAATGCTTCTCTCTCCCCCTTCTCTAAAATCAATTTAAAAACATTTTTTAAAGGTACATTTTGTTCAACGTAAATCAAAGGAATGCAAAAATGGCATTTTGGCAGGCTAAGCTGATCACCATGGCCGTGCCCCATGCAGCATACCCACCCACCTCAGACTCTGTGGAGTCACATGCTTATAAAGTCGGGGGAGTGAAATGGGAAGTGGATTAAAGTGTAGTGCTTTTACCACTTCAACGAATTTCTTCTTAGGAATTTTAAAATTGTGAACATTAGTTCTCTGCAAGCTAAACCTAGATCCAAAGCCAATCTTTAGCACATTAACTCAGTGTGGGCAAAAGCTAGAATATACGGGGCAGGCAAAAATAGGTTTACAGTTGTGAGTCCACGAAAGCTTATTCTTGTATTATTTATTATTGTATTTACTTGTATTACAACTTTAAGCCTACTTTTGCCCAACCTTGTATATTAATACGCTACATCAGATAAATGAATAGTTAAAACTAGATAGCAAAATTAAGGTGAAATTTGTACTTGTGGTAGGTTAGTAATACTAGTATTATTCAAGTGCAATCATTTGTATGTTGAAAAAGCACTAAAAATAGGCAACTGGTTCATCCCCAACACATACCCAATTGACTAGCATCGATAAAATCCTATTACAACGAAAAAGTTTTGTAGGACAAAATGACGTTTAATTGCAGCGATTAATTCCTTTGTGATGTAGTGATGGAAGTACCCTATTTAGGAACCTGGTAAGTACTAACTCTAAGACATTTCAGTACATGCTTATTTGTAACCCAAACTAAGGGAAAAGTTAAGATTCTACAAAAGAAACTTTAAGTGGGCTTTTAAAACTATTTTAAAGTCTGAACTTCAAATAAATGGGGGAGAATGTGAACAGATTACTTTGCATACAGCAACTCCAACTTGATAGAGCTCTCTCCGTAGTCTTATGTCATGAAATGGGAACTTCCCAAAAATAAACACAGTCTGAGGAAGACATTAGAATAACTTGTGTGGAATTAAAATAAAAATAATACGTACATGTAAGTCAGCGTTAATTTTATTACTGACAACTTGGTAAATTATAAAGTGCTTTATTTTTCTTGGAAAACTCCAGTTTTTAGAAATATATACAGGATAATTCAGCTAAAAGTCCAATTTGTATGTTAGTGTGCAAGCTTAAATTTTTTGGAGGATCCTATATAATTATAGTGTCACTAATACTAACAAAACAGTACAAGTCTAGTGTCCCAGATGGTCTTGGGTCAGTCAGTGTTGGGACAGTCAGCATGCCTGAGGCATTGCTGCTCTCCTATAAATAAATCCCTATTTGGATATGGAAAAAAACCTCATTAGTAGAATAAAAATTTACATCTGCAGTAGTACTCGGTCAAGTTCTTTAAATCATGACTCATATCACTGTGTATTCTAAGATGGTCTGTAATGAAGAGAAAAGGATATAGACAATACAGCTTTGACAGAAAGCAGTAATCTCATTTTTATATTTTAAGGATTATTCATATTCCAATTTTACTTTATTCCAATTATACTTGATACAAAATTGTTTTCCTAAATCCAAAGTAAACTACACATCACTGCTATAGAAGCATATAGAATTTTAATTGGATCAGCATTTTTATTGGAATATTAAAAACAAATTTGAGAATGGAAAAGAATGCCTGCTGCTGAAAACAATATACTAGCTTATTTCTTATCCTTTTCATTGATTCGTGTGGTTGGTAGATAAATCAATTCCATTCAGAGGGAAAACCTTTTAGTTGCAAATTATAATCTCTTCAAGCAAGCCTTTATCAGAGCTGGTGTGAGCTTTCTTTCTTCACTGCCTCCCTTCACTGATAGCAATGAAATGACCCAAACTCAGGAAGTATATAGCATTTAAGACTGATATCCATCCCTCCTAAAGCCTGTTTTCAAAAGGATCCCATAAGCTTTGAAGTCTCTAGAGAATGCCTGTAAAACAATGTGTTTTCTGTAACTCTGGGTTTAACCGTTTACTGTTTTCCCTAGGGGAGTGGTAACACTGAGGAGTCTTCTACAGCATGGGAGTGTCAGGCCAAACGATGTCAGAAATAATTCCATCGAATTGTTTTCCACTAGTTTGGTCACTTTTCTGGTTGAATCGATGAACTGAGGTTCATCTATAGTTTACAATACACCCAGTGAGGGTGCCAGACAACCTGGAATTGTTTTTACACAGAGCTTTCTCTCATCCCTAGAAAAGTTAACTCAAAACATTCTTGATTCTCACAAGCTTTGTGATGGGCATTTCAATTTTTTTCTAAAATTCTGATGAAAGCTCAAAGTATGAAAGGGATATGATACTTATCTGCCTAATGAACTTTTTAAGAGACATCTCAAACTAAGGTAGGCAGGAGGGTATCAGAAGTAAATACCGAGTTTCCAATTGACTTTATCGCTTCCCTAGTGAAATGCAGCGGGGCCCAGACAATCCTGACAACCCTACTCAGACACATCTCATGACTCCCTCCAGTTCCCCGTTCACCCTGCTTGTAGCCCTGCGTTCTGCCCACAGAAGAAATCACAGAGGGATAGAGGTTAGGGAACTGCTTAAGACAAGAAGTAAAGATGAGCTGCAAGGAAAACTGGCTCCATATTGCTGACCTTAATGAATCAGCCAGGAGGCTTGAAGTCGTTTTAAAAAAGGAAAAAGCCTAATTAAATTTATTAAACTCTTACTCTTAGTTAGTAACTCACTAAAAAACTGGTTCCTAGATGAAAATGCGAAGGCTCAGATGTGCTAATGTCTTACTTTAGAAAGTTAACTCAGGGCTCCTCTGTGGGAGTGGAAATTAAGATTTATCTCTGACAGGCTCTAGTAAAATGGTGAGGATTTTACAGGTGAACTGAATGTGTACAGTCCAAGGACTCAATATGGATCAGCACTTAGAAAATATAGTTCAATATATTAAAAATTAAAGATTCCTTTAACATTTAACCACTAACTGTAAAGGGTAATAGTGTCTGAATGCTTTCCTTCTGGAACCATCACTAAACAGGGCCAGCTGCTGTGGCCAAGCCTGCCATTGGTCATCCCCTTTCAGTTAGTTCAGAATGCCTTTCTCCTTAGCACTCCAAATCCCCATGAAAGTTCTAACAAATGATAAAACTTACCTTAAAATTAACTTCAAAACTAAAGTATGACCAGAAAATATACTGCAACACTGATCACTATAATGAATGAAACTATTGTTCTTGACTAGATATATACTCTATGACATGCTGTCACATTTAAGAGCCTACAGATCTGTAGGACCCAAATGTTGTGACTGCCCTGCCCACCCCTCAGCCTCCCTCCATCACATCGTAAGAGCAATCCTTGAGAAGGCAACCAGAGTCTAGACATTTCCCTACCACACTAACAATAGACTAGGAACAAGCTTTGGCAGAGTGACTGGTAAACACCCCCCTGAACTTTGAGAATTCCCATGTATCCTTAGGCAACATCTGTAATTTAAGAAAACAGCTATAAAAATACTCTTTGAATGGAAGAAGAGGTAACACAGCCCTCGTCATTATATTCTGTACACTTCAATCCTTCCTAATAATTCACAATTGAGTTACAAGCAGGATTAGCATTTACTAATGTAGTTGGACTATATTTTCCCACTATGTTCCACTTTCTCCCTAGCTTTGACTAATTTATTTAGTTTGATCTTTCTATTCCCAAATACTAGAATAAGAGACAGTCTTTAAACTGTTAAGTTGCAAGTTTCTTAGGGTTTCTGCTTTATTATTCCCTGATATCCACTACAGAAGTGCAAGGCATACTTAATCAATAGACAAAAACTTCTACAATGAAGGTGGTTTGTTGCACCCTTTCATACTAGAATTGAGCTATAATTTCCACACGCTGTAAGAAAGCTAAAGTATTTGGTGACAGCTACAAGATACCTGACAAAGTAAATATGTTGACTTAATAGCAATGAAAAATATGGGGCTGGTATTTCAGCTATAGTAAAGGACAAGGCAAAAAGACCTTATCTGGCCATTTAAAAGTTATCTGAAAAATCAATTCAATTGAGTAGAAAGAAAAACCAAAAATATTGTATGCACCTTTAACGATGTTCTTACATTTTGATATACAAACCCCTCATTTTGTTCAAATGGTACAAATTCAGGTAGTTACAGAAGAGATTAAAATCCTTTCAGCTTAGTTTTTAATACTATACAGTAAAGTTAATAAATTTTGTGTTCTAATGTTCTTCTTGAAAAAAGGCTAGAAGAACGACAGGGAATGTAGTATGGACCCAATGGTACTCTAAATAGAATTTTTACTGAAGATGCCATCAACTGATGAAGTGGGAGGATTTGGTGAAGTGTCTTATCTTGTTTTCGGACAGCAGTACCTCAGACGGTATTTTCATTGGTTTATGGCTCCTTTTTCCATTTCCACTTCCAGATTTGAAGTGAATTTTCCTAAAACATAAGTTCTTTCCTTCTATTTCCTTATTATAAAACTGATTTCCTTTTCAGGTACAACCTCTGCTATTTAAAAGAAACTTTTGTGTTTTAATTTAGAAGCTGTAACTGCTTTATCCTTTTCTAAGGACTAGTAAATTGAGAAAGGATTTAATCAGAGATTTTCCCCTAAAATAAAAAAAAAAAAAAGGGAGAACGACAATCCTAGGAATTAACTTGGAATATATTTTTCCTTTTATTCAGAAATTACTATACATTGTCAATATACCCTTTTTAAAAAAAATAGGATATGAAAAAAATGCTTTTAAAACCTCACCTATTTTTAAACATTTTAATTTTTTTAATATGCTTGGTAAAATTAGTTATTCAAAGAAATAAAAAAATCAAACCTAAGTACCTCAAACCTTTTTGTTTAAACCATAAATGAATAAAGTCAGAGGACTTTGGACATACACAACACAGTAGTATTTTTTTCATATACCATTAAGTTATGTCAAGTGCAATGGAAAGCTATAGCCCTTCATCAGTTCACATTCAATTTGTAACCTTTTATCTTTTCTCACAAGAAAAACACAAACCAATCCCAAACTTATTAAAGTACATCTGTGCATTAAATCCCTGCGCCTTTTCGCATAAAGTAGAAAAAAAATCAAACGTTCTAGTGCTCAATGTAAACATTTTGAACTATTAATTATTTATTAATTTTCCTTAAAGGTATTTAGGAGTGTGTGTCACATATTCAAAGTTAACCTTAGGAATAGCACCATGACCAAAAAAAAATGATTCTCTCTATAATCCCTTAGTTTTACTTCAGAATTTGAGAAGCTACCATTGTCAACCACACATTCAAAGTTACCAGGACAATTTTTGTGTTTTTTTCCAGATGAAACCAGAATAATTCTTATATAAATAAGGGTGTAACTATTTTGGACAAAATGAAAAATTAGTAATTAGTTGACCAGCCTGTCAATGACCAATTAATTTAGTCTAAAGAATAGTTCTATTGATGAAGCCTAAATGGTCAAACTAACATTTTACCAAAAGAATTTACGTGTTTATGAATGTATTCCCTATTTATTTAAGGATTTTTGGTACCTTTTTGCAAATGATGGTAAACATGGAATTATAACCCTGAGACTAGATATAAAATGGAGAAGCTTAAGAAAAGTTTAAATAAATTAATGGATATGCCATCTATCATCACTTCTTAAAATTAAGGAAGTAAAGAGCATTCCATTAATTTTTTCAGGTCAAGAGTGAAGGACAATTACCCTGCACCAAACTGTGTTCTCTGCACTTACTACAAGTTCTGAGAAGAAGAGCATCTCTGAACAACCGAAGGAGAGCAGGCCTCCCACCTATCTCAGCTGGCAGTGTCTAAAAGAGAAATGCCTTTACCATGTCAAACAGGATAGATAACTGCACAGTAACAACACTTAAGAACATTCTCTAACACTAATACCAGAGTCTGGTGCTTTTCCCTATCTGCCACTTTAAGGATACACAGGAGAAAAAGGTTAATTTAGTCTGAAACCAAATAGGGCCAATAAATAGTAAAGATGGGAGTACTGAAACATACCCCTTCGCTACAAAATATGTAAACCATTTGAATCAAGTCCATCTTCAGGCACAAACAAGCCAGGAATGGCCACTTATACTGTTTGGAGTAGCACAATCTTATCAAGTAAAAACATTTGGCTCAAAAAAAAAAAAAAAAAAAAGCGTTACTATGGTATCTGATGATGTGATAAAAGTTTTGCTTTAAATGGATTCCAAAATTATTTTCTAACAAAATATGACTTTTCTTAGGTTTAAAGTAAAGGTCACTAATGAAGTTATACTTAGTTACCCCAGCAAAGAATGTTTGAGATTGCACATGGCAGCAGTAAGCTAAAACAAAGAGATGGAGATAACATTTCACTAGTTTCCTATATAGATGAGATTTGCAATTGCACACTTAACAAAACTCAACCCTACGATTTCAATAGAAATGGGGGGAACTACATATAATTTAAATATTCTCTGAGTTCCGTACACTCTATTAAAGAATAAACTCTCCCTAAATCTAAGGCACACAAACTCCTCTATGTCACAGAGTAAGACTATCGAAGACCAAGAGTTTGGTTAAATCCCTCACATGAAAACCAGGAGATCATGGAAAGAAAATTATATAGCCTTTTGTTAGAGCACAATCTAAAAGAAAATGCTAGGATTATGGTCTGGCCTTAGGAATTGAAATATATGATCAAAACATTAAAAAAAATAATTTACCAGCACTTTATAAATTCAAGTTTATAAAATAATAATAATGATATTTTCCTTTAAAATAAAAAGAGAGAAAGATGCAACAGCATTTGAAAAGAAAACTGGAAACCATTTCAATGAAAATGACCAAATATGGTATAATGCATTCTACTCAAGTAGCCAGGGAAAGAAAAAAAAAAAGTGGTAGGTACCTCACCTACTACTAATCATGGTAACACTTCCCATGATTGCAATGTCGGTATGGACATAATATTTATGAAAAATCTGTAAACATAGGTCTTGTGAAATTGTTCTGCTACAATATGACACGGGTTAGAAACTACCACCTCCCAACAAATTCCAAAAATATCTGCATGGCACTTGCGACCATGAAAGTAATGCTCATTGGTTGTGATAACCAGGATGTCTAGTGTTTAACATATTTCAAACTCTTGCTATATGTAGTTAAATACTGTTTAAGTAGATCTGCCCCCAAAATGAAGCATATTTTGGCACCTGTGCTGAATGCTGCTACAAAGGCAAGCAAGTGCAAATAAAAATAACAGTCATGATTTAGTCACATTCATAACTTTTCATAGAAAAATATAAATATATTCCCTGAATTGTAGGACAAAAAAATAATAACTTCAACAGCCAGGTTTCACCATAAATTCCAGTCCATTTCCTCTTTAAATGAACTGGTTTTCCCTCAAGGTCATAAGGTGCAATCATCAAAATCTAACACATTTTCTAAGTTTCTATCATCATCCCCATCATGGTATCTCACAGTCCTTCTACCCTGATTTCTCGTTTTAATTTTTGAACGTCGAAGAACTCTCTTAGATTTTGCATAGTCCAAATCCTCCCAGTCATTGTCATCCACATTTAACCTAGGACGCTTGCTCTGTCTTTGTTGCCTCACAGTTTTAGATATGTTAGCTGTAAAAGTTTTACCTTTTCTAACATTTACTTTTGCTTTTCCTTTTGTTTTCCTCTTTTTGGTTTTTGTCTCATCAGCACAGTCAACCTCTGATTCAGTTACAGATCCCAACTCTGAGTCAGATTTGGGACTAGTGTCCGGTCCACACTCTGAATTCCCTGTTGTTTCTGAATTTTTCACATTTCCCAATTTAGGATGCAGTCTCTTCCTTCTTGTTTCCGTCTTAGCTGCTTCCTGGGAGTCCTGAGTCGCTCCTGTCTTACTGAAAGGAGCCTTCCCATAGGTCCTGAGTCTTCTGCCATTCCACCTGCGCAGCCCGTAATTCAGTTCCTCTTCAAAGTTAGTCTCTGTAGTAGTTTTTTGCTCCAAAGTTGACTCGGAAGGAAATTTTCTACCAATCTCACCCCTTGGAATATGGCTTTTTGAATCTTCCTCTGAAGACCCAAAAGACGGCCTCTTTGTTCTAGAAGGTGCAGCATTTGTTTTGTGGCTACCGGTATGCCTGGCAGGCCCGTCCCTATATTCTGACTTTGGCATACCTTCAGAGTCAGAGTCTCCACTGAGAGGCTGAGGAACGCTTTCTGCGCTACCTTCTGAGTCAGCCTCAGGCGCCTCCCCTTCACACGCACCCTGTTCGTCTGGCACTTCACCGTTTGCGTCTCCCTCAGAATCACTCCCTATCTTCGCGGCTGTGGTACACGCAAAACGGAGGGGCTTCTTCCTTCTCCTCTTACCTCTAGTGCACACGTTTTCTAAACTAGCATCTTCCATGTCACTCATGAGCTTAATCTTACTGGCAGCGGTGGCTGCACATCTTCGAGGAATCCTTTGGAGACCTGTTTTGGCTTTGGAGGATTTCTTAACCACTTTCAAACTGCTGTCTGAATCACTGGAACAGACCCTTTTCCTGGAAACTTTTCTGCTTTGTCCATGGTCCCATGATGTAGAATCTAAAAATTAAGAGTATTCCTTTAATCTTCAATTCAACATTTATATGACATCAGTCCATAATTCTGCATTCTTATTAACTGGGAAGGAATGGCAGTGAGTGGCATGGGAGCAGTGACTTGTTAGCCTCAGCACCATTCACAAGTACAACATATTCCTCACAGTAAAACCCCAGGCCTTTCTAGCTATGTGCACAGACACCTGACATTAAAACCTTTTACTTACGTGAGTACAGACTAAACTCTTTACCACTACACTAGGCTATAAAAACTAACCACTTACTCTCAGCCTCCCTGCAACACTTCTTAACTTTACAAGTTCCTATCACACCAACTTTTTATCCTAGCTTTAGCTGCCTCCTGCTCTTTTAAAATTTTTCATCAATCCCCATTTACCAGTACAATCTTAATTCAGCAATTTACCTCACCTCTCTGTGCTCGTTATCAGTAAAATTGACAACAGTCCCTATCTCATAAAAGATATGAAGATTAAATTGATTAATAAACATAAAGCATTTATCCCTGTCTGGGTGGCTCAGCTGGTTGGAGCATCGTCCCATACATCGAAAGGTTTGATTCCCGGTCAGGGTGCGTACGGTGAATACAGGAAGCAACCAATTGATGTTTTTCTCTCACACTGATGTTTCTCTCTCTCTCTCTCTCTCTCTCTCTCTCTCTCTCTCTCTCTCTCTGCCGTCATCTCTCTCTAAAAAGTAAAAACAAAAACCTATCCTCGGTTGAAGATTAAAGAAAAAACATAAAGCATTTAGAAAAACATCATGATATACAGAACACCTGGAAAATGCTGTTAGCTGCTGCTATTACTACTTACCACATTCCTTTCGATCAGTCCTACCCTTTTCTTTCCTCTTCTCAAACTATCATCACGACAGTTTATAAATGTGCTTGCCTTTGTTTTCTTAAACCCATCGCCAATATAATATCCCCAATCACCAATACAAGAAGTGAAATCTTTAATAGTAATAATGTTAAGGCCAAATTGCCTGTCATGTGAGTAAAACTAAATGCACTCAACCAATAGTTGGGTGCGCACACAGGAATAGGAGAGATGAAAGAAAAAAAAAAGACTAATGGAGAATGCAGGGAGTGTAGAGAAAACAACTGGCAAAGAGAAGTTTCACAGGAAAGAAAAACAATGTATGCTAGAAGGGCAGGGCAATAAGAATAAATCAGTGACATGTTTTCAATTACCTTTCACAAAATCGTTTGGTTTTTCTTTTGTTTTGTCATCATCCGAATCCACATCAGTTTCAGACACATGATCTGAGAAACAGTGGGATGCAGCCATAGGTTCACTCTTCAACTTTCCTGACAGCAGGTTTGTTTCCATTTTGTGACATCTACCATCTCCTCTATCTTCCTCAGATTCAGAGTCCTCTGAATCAGTAAAGACCTTTGCTTTTTTAAGGGAAGTGGCATTCTTGCGAGTTGTGCTGTATTTCCTACCAGGGTATTTTCTTGGTTCAGAATCTGCTTCCTCCTCTTCCCCTGAGACACTTCCTGCCTTGAGTTTCTGCCCAGACGTTGATGGGCCATTAGTTCTGTTATGTCCATAATCTGAACCATGACTTTCCTCAGAAGACTCTATTTTAAGAAGTTTTGTTTTAGAAGTTGCTGCAGTATGGGACTTGTAGCCATTAGCATGCCAATTTTTCCGGACTACCTGCAGGTCACTTTCTGACTCTGAATCTCCATTTTCAGATTCATTGACAGTATTCTGGGCCACATGAGAACTGGACACTGGCGATGGTTGATTGTGATCTTTTAGCTCCTCTTCTTCGGTTTCTGACTTTAAGCTCTGCTCATCTTCAGAATTATATAATAACTTTTTTCTAGCCACAGCAGAAGCATTGCGGTGAGGCAGCTTACGGCCAGAACAGACATTTTCAGAGCTAGAATTCTCCTCTATATCACTCATTAGCTTTATCTTATTGGCAGCCACAGCAGCACACTTTCTTAGCACTTTGCGGTTATTTCCAGCTCGGGCTTTTAAACTTTCACCAGTTTCTAATGAATTGTTATCGGAGTCACTTAAATAGACTCTCTTTCGAGTGGCTTTTCTGCCACATCCATTTTCTAAAGAAACTGGACCTAGAAATAAAGTAACAATAAGATTAGAAAGGTCTTCCTTATTTCAACATTTTTTAAATGACTTCACTATTTTAGTACTGATGTTCCTTATATTTTACTGCCAAAACAGATTTCCTTTCTAAATCTAAAAGACTTAAAAGGATACAACAGAATAGACACCACAAAAATAAACTCATACATATATGGTCAATTAACTTATGAAAAAAGAGACAAGAATACACAATGGGGAAAGGAGATACTTTTCAATAAATGGTGTTGGGAAAATTGAACAGCACATGCAAAAGAACAAAACTAGACTGCTATCCTAAACCACACCCAAAAATTAACTCAAAATAGATTCAAGATTTGAATGTAAGACCTAAAACCATGAAACTCCTAGAGCAGTGATGGCGAACCTTTTGAGCTCGGCGTGTCAGCATTTTGAAAAACCCTAACTTAACTCTTGTGCCGTGTCACATATAGAAATTTTTTGATTTTTGCAACCATAGTAAAACAAAGACTTATATTTTTGATATTTATTTTATATATTTAAATGCCATTTAACAAAGAAAAATCAACCAAAAAAATGAGTGTCATAGGTTCGCCATCACTGTCCTAGAGAGCAGTGGCCGATGTGACTCGGTTGGAGCGGCATTCAGTGCACCAAAAGGTTGTGGGTTCAATTCCGTCAGGGCACATACCTAGGTTGCGGGTTCAATCCTGTTCAGGGTGTGTACAGCAGGCAACCGATCAATATATCTCTCTCACATCAATGTTATCTCTCTCCTTTCTCCCTCCCTCCCTAAAATCAATAAAACATATCCTCAGGACAGGATTAAAACTTAAAAAAAAAATGGGCATAGAAATGAATAGGTATTTCCCAAAGAAGACATACAAATGAACATGCATGGCATGACTCATCATCAGGAAAATGCAAATCAAAACCACAATGAAGTTATCTCTTCACACCTGTTAGAATAGTTACTATCAAAAAGATAAGAAATAGCAAGTGTGGACAAGGATGTGAAGAAAAGGGAACCCTTGTGTCCTGTTGGTAGGAAAGTAAATCAGTGCAGCCTCTTTATGGAAAACAGTAAAGAGGTTGCCTCAAAAAATCAAAACTAGAACTACCATATGATCCAGCTATTCCACTTGCAGATATTTATCCAAAGAAAACAAAAACAAGTCCAAAAGATCTACACACCCCCATGTTCAATGCAGCATTATTTACAATAGCCACAATAGGAAACAAGCAAAGCACAGTGTCCATCAATAGATGAATGGAGCCTGGCTGAGGGGCTCAGTTGGTTGATATCATCCTGTGCACCAAAAAGTTGCTGGTTCAATCCTGTTGGAGCATATATGGAAGGCAACCAATCATCTTTCTCTCTCACACTGATGTTTCTTTCTATTTCTCTCTCTCTCTCTAAGGATGTCCTTGGGTGAGGATTTAAAAAAAAAAATGAATGGATAAAGAAGATGTGATATATATACATAATGGAAAACTATTCAGCTACAAGAAGAATGGATTCTTGCCATTTGAAACAACACAAAGTGACTATACGGGCATTATGCTAAGTGAAGTAAGTTAGACAAAGAAAAAGAAATACCATATGGTCTCACTTATATGTGAAATCTAAAAAACAAACAAACAAAACCAAGTACATAGATACAGAGAACAGACTGGTGTGTGTAGGGGGAGGGGCGGTTTGAAGGGGGTCAAAAGGTATCAACATCCAGTTATAAAATAAATAACTCGTGGAAATGTAATGTACTGCATGGTGGCTATAGTTAATACTGTAGTGCACATATGAAAGTTGCTAAGCCCTGGTCAGGTAGATCAGTTGGTTAGTGTTGTCCCTACATATCAAGGTCTGTGGGTTCAATCCCTGGTCAGGGCACATACAAGAATCAAACAATGGCCCTAGCTGATTTGGCTCAGCGGATAGAGTGTCAGCCTATGGACTGAATGGTCCCATGTTTGATTCCAGTCAAGGGCACATGCCTGGTTGCAGACTCGATCCCCAGTAGGGGGCATGCAGGAGGCAGCCAATCAATCATCATTGATGTTTCTATCTCTCTCTCCCTCCCTTTTCCTCTCTGAAATCAATTAAAAAAATCTGTTTTTAAAAAGAATCAAACAATGAATGCATAAATAAGTGGCACAACAAATCGATGTTGCTCTCTCTCTAAAATCAATCAATAATTTTTTTTAAAAAAAAGAAAGTTGCTAAGAGAGTAAATCTTAAAAGTCCTCATCTCAAGAAAATAATGAGAAAAAAATCTGTAACTGTATATGGTAATGGATGGTAACTATAGACTTGTGGTCATTTCACGATGTACTAGTATACAAATATCAAGTCATTATGGTGAACACTTGAAACTAATACCATGCCAGATGTCAACCATACCCCAATTTTTAAAAAGTTTACAGGACTAATCATATGTAGATACATTAAATCAATAAACCATTCAGTGTTTAGCTCTTGAACCTCATGATATACATCCCTCCAAAGCACCCCAGGGTCTCTCACCAGGTCTTCTTTGCGCGGCCCGGGTTCTGGTCACTCTGAGATTGCCGCTTCTGGCCAGCCTACGGCGCAAGGAGGGCTCACGAGCTCTTGAACTCCCTTTGCTCTCCTCTGAACTCTCTGAAGCTGAGGACGATAAAGAGGGACCTAAGGAATCTTCCATTTCACTTTCTAAGAAAAACAAAGCATCAACAGTTCATTACACACATTCTCTTATCTTTACACACATAAGCAGTTACTTCATAACAAAAGACTTAAAGCAGATTCCTAAATACTTGAGTATATTTTCTAAAGATGTTCGAAAAAAACAGCTGATAGGGAAAAACCAAGATGGTGGCATAGGTAAACACCAGAAATTGCTGCCTCGCACAACCACTTCAAAAATACAACTAAAAGACAAAATGGACATCATCAAGAACCACAGGAAAGCTGGCTGAGGGGAAATTCTACAACTAGAAGGAAAGAGAAAAGCACACTAAGACTCAGAGGAGGTGCGGAAGTAAAGTGCAGAGGTACAGAGGCGCACGCGGAAAGGGCTGGCAACTGAGAACACGGTTGTCTTTTTCAATCAGGAGGGCGTCTCAAGCTCCCAGCTGCTCTGAACTCTAGTTCCGGGCGAGTCTCTGGGGACCCAGACTCATACGGGGAGAAACTGGACTGTCTGGCAGCAGGCAGAACTCGAGGGTGGCTTTCTCTCAGAGGTGCTTACAGCGATTACCGGGACTGGACACTGAGACGAGGGGGCCTCTTAGGGTAGGACTGAGGAGCAGCCATAGCTGCTTGCTTCACCCTGTTGATCCCCTGAGACCCCGCCCCACCAAAGCTGTGTGCAGAGGCTTTTGCATGTGAAAGGCCTGGCCCTTTGCAACCTGAAAATTACCTAACAAACTGCAGCTGGGTCGGAGAGACCAAGAACTTCCAAAAGACGGCCCAAGGCCCCACAGCAGCTTGCATTGCTTCACAGCTGGGCCTCAACTGGGAACCTCCAAACCCCAAACAAAGAAGAGGAATCTTCAGATCTCTCCATAGCTCCTGCTGGGTAGCCTTAGGCAGAGGCTAAATTAGCACCTCCTTAGAGATCCAAGAGCCAGTGTACCCAGTGGTCAGAGTGGGACCATCCAGATTACAACTCCTCAGATCCATAAGGGACACACTCAGGGGGCAGACTCAGTGAATACCAAAGCCCCACTGAAGCAAGTCTTGCCCCAGAAGGGTGTCTCCAGCACAGAAGTGCTCCCACTGCAGACACAGCTGATTCTCACAGCCAATTGGCCTGGAGGTCGATTCCTCCCAGTGATACCTACAACAATCAAGACTTAACTACAGCCAAAACCAGTTTGGCTCAGTGGCTAGAGCGTCGGCTTGCGGACTGAGGGGTCCCGGGTTCGATTCCGGTCAAGGGCATGTACCTGGGTTGCGGGCACATCCCCAGTGGGAGATGTGCAGGAGGCAGCTGATCGATGTTTCTCTCTCATCAATGTTTCTAACTCTCTATCTCTCTCCCTTCCTCTCTGTAAAAAATCAATAAAATATATTTTAAAATAAAATAAAATAAAATATGTATATGTAATATATGCATGTAAAATAAACTTATTAAAAAAAAAAAAAAAGACAACTACAACAAGACTGTGCACACAGCCCACAAAGGGGTGCACCAAGAGTGTCCACCTCAGGTAACTGGGGAGGCTGAGCCACTGGGCCCTATAGGACACCTAGCACAGAAAGCCACTCTATCAACACAGGGAAGCATAAAAAATGCAGAGACAAAGAAACAGGCCACAAATGACAGAAATGGAGGAAAGCAAACTACAGGGTATAGAGTTCAAAACCACAGTTATAAGGTTTTTCAAGAATTTTCTAGAAACCGCTGATAAATTTAGTGAGACCCTTGAGGTTATGTAAAGGACCAACTAGAAATTAAGCATACACTGACTAAAATAAAGAATATTATAAAGAGTTCCAACAGCAGACTAGAGGATCACAAGAATCAAGTCAAAGATTTGAAATACGAAGAAGCAAAAAACACCCAACCGGAAAAACAAAAAGAAAAAAGAATCCAAAAATATGAAGACAGTGAAGGAGCCTCTGGGACAACTTCAAGCGTACCAACATCAGAATTATGGGGGTGCCAGAAGAAGAGAGAGAGCAAGATACTGAAAACCTATTTGAAGAAATAATGACAGAAAACTTCCCCTACCTGGTGAAAGAAATAGACTTACAAGTCCAGGAAGCACAGAGAACCCCAAACAAAAGGAATCCAAAGAGGACCACACCAAGACACATCATAATTAAAATGCCAAGAGCAAAAGACAAAGAGAGAATCTTAAAAGCAGCAAGAGAAAGAAACTCAGTTACCTACAAGGGAGTACCCATACGACTGTCAGATGATTTCTCAACAGAAACTATGCAGGCCAGAAGGGAGTGGCAAGAAATAGTCCAAGTGATGAATAGCAAGAACCTACAACCAAGATTACTTTACCTAGCAAAGCTATCATTCAGAATTGAAGGTCAGATAAAGAGCTTCACAGATAAGAAAAAGCTAAAGGAGTTCATCACCACCAAACCAGTATTATATGAAATGCTGAAAGGTATCCTTTAAGAAGAGGAAGAAGAAGAAAAAGGTAAGGATACAAATTATGAACAACAAATACACATCTATCAACAAGTGAATCTAAAAATCAAGTGAATAAATAATCTGATGAACAGAATAAACTGGTGAATATAATAGAATCAGGGGCATAGAAAGGGAATGGACTGACTATTCTTGGGGGGGAAAGGAGTGTGGGGGATGTGGGAAGAGACTGGACAAAAATCGTACACCTATGGATGAGGACAGTGGGGGAGGGGGGTAAGTGCAGAGGGTGGGGTGGGATCTGGGTAAAGGGGAGCTATGGGGGAGGGGAAAGAGGAACAACTGTAATAATCTGAACAATAAAGATTTAATTGAAATAAAATAAAAACAGCTGATAAAATTGGTATTAAAAGGTACATAATCAGCTCTAGCCAGTTTGGCTCAATGCATCAAGCGTTGGCCTGTGGTCCCAGGTTCGATTCCAGCCAAGGGCACATGCCTGGGTTGTGGGCTTGATCCCCAGTAGGGGGCGTGCAGGAGGCAGCTGATCAATGATTCTTTCTCATCATTGATGTTTCTATCTCTCTCCCTCTTCCTTCCTCTCTAAAATCAATAAAGAAATATAGAAAAAAAAAAAAGAAAAAAAAAACATTTAAAAAAAAGTACAGAATCAGCATTTTGAATCGTTTGTTCTCTTATTTCTGGAAGTAGCATATTATTCCTGCTTTGGATTCAGAAAATAAAGTGTATATACTTAATAAACAAAATTCCACTTAAAAACTTAATTAGCCCCCCTTTCTACTCCCTTCTATTATGAAACTAGCAGTATTATACACCTGAGCGCTCAGCAGTTGAATAACGTAACATTCTACTTCTCACCAGATAATGTAGAACCATTTGTTAGAGTGACAGGTCTACTTCTTCTCATTCTTTCTGATGATCCTGCTGAATCTGAAGAGTCCTCAGAAGAAACACCTGAAGAGACACTAGCACGTGTCTTGTGGCTTGCAGAATAAGCTGCCTGGCTTGAGGTAGACTGAGTAGGAGAACCTACCAACTCAGGAATTACTCTTATCTGAGATTTTAAACGCTTCTGCTTGGTATTTCTGGTCAGAGATATGAACAAAAGAAGCTGTATTTAACAAAACAGAAAACACCTAAATAAAAGTATATTATAACTTTAATCTGATAATAATTTTAGATCAAAATATTAAAATATCTGTTATTAACATCTTTTTCTGGCATGGATTACTATTAATATTCTTACTTTAAATTTGATATTGTTTTATCACAAATTGGAGTAATGAACAAATGATCCAAGTAACAGTTAACAGAAAATCACATTGAATATGGTTCTTGGGATTAAATGCTTAGGGAGAACCAACATTTATGTAATATAGGCATTTTTCACATTATAAATCTGAGTCTCAATATGACCCAACTTTCTCTCTAGTTTCTAAACACAGTATAAAATTAAGAGAAGACATCAACAAAACCTGAACAGAAAAGAAAAAAGGAGGGTAGGGGAAGTAAGAGAGGGTAAAAGAGGAACCAATGGTGATGGAAGAAGACTTGACTTGGAGTGGTGAATACACAATACAATATACATATGATGTATTATTGACCTGTACCCCTGAAACCTATATAATTTTATGAACCAATGTCACCCTAATAAATTCTATTTAAAATAAAAAAAAAAAGAAAGAGGCCCAACTGGTGTGGTTCAATGGTTGAGCGTGGGAACCTATGAACCAGGAGGTCACAGTTTGATTCCCAGTCAGGGCACATGCCTGGGTTGCAAGCTCAATCCCCCAGTGTGAGACGTGCAGAAGGCAGCCAATCAGTGATTTTCTCTCAATCAGTGATTTTCTCTCATCACTGATGTTCATCTTTCTCTCTCTCTCCAAGTCAAGTCTCCTCTCTCTCTCTCTCTCTCTCTCTCTCTCTCTCTCTCTCTCTCTCCCTCCCGCCCTCCCTCCCTCCCTCTCTGAAATCAATAAAAATATATTTAATTAAAAAAAAAGAACAGAGGCAAAAAAGAGATCAGAACAAATTAATTTTGTTAATCCTCACCTGAGGATACATTTTCCCATTGATTTTTAGAGAAGGGAGAGGGGAGAAGGGGGTCAGGGGAAAGGGGGAGAGAGAGACAAAGAGAGAAAGAGAATGAAACATCAATGTGAGAGAGACATCGATTAGTTGCCTCCTCGAACATGCCCCAACTGGGGCCAGGGATCAAACCTGCAACACAGGTATGTGGCCTTGACCAGGAATTGAACCCACGACCCTTTGGTCTGTGGGCTGACACTCTAAACACTGAGCAACGCTGGCTAGAGCTGGACAAGCTAATTTTTTTCTAATACATCTTTGGATTTACATTATAGATCTGGGTAATACTCATGTTGAGATAATCTTCTTTTCCTTTCAAACAAAAAGATAAAGGGCTTTTTTCGAATATCTAAAGCATCTGAGCTAAAAGATAACCACCATTCATTAAAGCAGTAACTGTTTATATCATCATAATCAAGAAAATTCAAGCTTTATGTCAAGACAGATTTTAACTTCCATTAATAACAACTGGAGGCAGACCAGTGAATACAAAAAAAAATCATTACATGCTTATACTTATCATAAATATAATTTTTAACATACACAAATGAGTAGTACCTTAAGAGAAAAAGCTTTCCTTTCTTATCCTATATTCTTCTGAACTGTTAAGACTCTTTTTCGGTTCCAAGAGAAAGCAGAGTTTTTAAAAATAGGCAAGCCCTGGCTAGTGTGGCTGAGTTGGTTGGGCATCATCCCTGGCACCAAAAAGTGGCTGCTGGTTTAATTCCCGGTCAGGGCACATGCTCAGGCTTTGGAACCAGATCCCCGTGGGGGGCACACAACAGGCAGCAGATCAATGCTTTGCTTTCACATCAATGTTTCTCTCTCCCTCTCCCTTCCTCTCTCTCTTAAAAAGAAAAATTAATTAAAAAATTTTAATAACAATAAAAACTCATACAATAATAAATCCAAACTGGGGGTCATTTTATAAAACAAATGGCCTATAGTCTTAAAAATGTCTATCAAGAAGACAAAGGTTACAAGTAAATTCCAGATTAAAAAAGACTAAAGAGCCTGGCCAGTGTGGCTCAGTGGTTGAGTGTCAACCCATGAACCAGGAAGTCACCAGTTTGATTCCCCGTCTGATTTAATAGCCAACTGCAAATAACATATGAAGATGTAAGCTATAGGACAATAGCACAAATAACTGAAGAGAACTAACCTACAACAAAATTCTTTTATCTATGAGAATTAAATAGTATTAAACAAAAGTAGATTTAAAAAAAAAACCAAAACACTAAAGTAGCTTGTTTTGAATTGAAATGCATAGTGTAATCCCCAGAACAACCATGAAGAAACCCATCAAGGGTAGAGTGCACATTCAAACCATATATGAAAACAAACTAAACAACATCAATTTGCACATTCCAATACTCCAAAATACATGTAAATTTTATATCAATGTAAGCTACATCATCAAAGACAGAATATAAATATTAAATTATGAAGAGAATAAACCCTGCATTTTATAATTCTTCTTTACAACTAATTCTCAGTAAGAAATATGGTATGTTATACCTAATAGATGTTTTCTCATAAATATCAAATGCTCAAAGTCTCTGCATTAAAAACAAAAAGTTCATTATGAAAAATATAAATGGTACCTTAAATAACCCTTTATGCCCTGGCCGAGGTGGCTCAGTTGGTTGGAGCATCATCCCATGCACCAAAAGGTGGCAGGTTCAATTCCTGGTCAGGGCACATACCTAGGTTGCAGGTTCAATCCCTGGTCAGGGAGTACAGGAGGCAACCTATCAATGTTTCTCTCTCAAAGCAGTAAGATAAATAAATAACACTTTATAAAATTCTTTTACAATTGATGATTTTCATTAAATGCTTTAAAAACTTACATAATTGCAAATCAATGAACAGAATGTTATCAAGCCAAAAAGGGACTATTCTTTTCTAAATGTTGTCTAAAATGATTAAGAATCGTTTGCATAATAAAATCAAAGACATTATCACGACCTGAAATTTTACAAAGTTGCATAGAAAGCTGGCAATAACCAATTTACCTGGTACTTTTGTTAGCCTGATTGAAACGGTTACAATTTTGCTGTCTCCTGAATCTCTGGCTTCTTCGAAGTTTTTCATTGAATTTTTGACTAATTTTAAAATCAGAGGAGATTTTCTTCATTTTTTCTTCAAATAAGGCAGACAACCTCAAGGTCATACTGTAAATCTGCAAGAATATAAAAGCAAAACTATAACCACAAAGTAACTTTAAAAGTATTTTTCTAAATGAGAATGCACTCATTGAGGCTACTTATAATCTTTTATATTAGTGTTACAGATAATGGCTCTTACTGACTTTATCTATTTCCCACCCCTTCCCTTCAATGACTTCTACAAGAGTCTGCAAGAAAGAGCAACTATCTTGGCTTTTCCCATTTTCCCATCTACATGTACAAACCTACATGTAACCTTTTCCAAAAGTTAGATGGGAAGTTTGTTGGTTTTCAAATTGCTACTGAGGCAGCAAAAAAGCAGTGTCTCTTTGAGGCAAGGGAACTTCTCACCAGTCTCTACTTGAAATCTGAATGCCTTTGATGACACTTAGATCCAAATCTGAATTACAGACAAAGAATACCTTGCATCTGGCAGAAAGAGGAAAATATGGCCTAAAATTTTACTACAAACGAAAGATTGTGTCTTAACTATTTTTATGATTAAATAACATCACATCTTGGAAAGAACGGCAATGTGATGTTAAGCACTACTATAAGCAACATTTGGTACGGCTATGTGTTTACAGGAAGTACTCTTCACTCGTCCCAATCATTCCTGAGAATAAGTGCACAAGCCTAATGTTCCAGAGCTAAGTATGAATCACTGATGCATGAGTGATTCCTACTAGAGAACCTTTAGAAATGCTTCATATATCTACCATATAAATATAGCTGTAAAATATATGTGAAATTTGCAATCCCTGATCTGATTTTTTAATGATCTTTAACAGTTATTTTCAGTATTGTGCATATGTTAAACTTATTCTTTTCACTGAAACCTGAAGTGTAGTATAAGTCACCAATTTCAACAATCCTATTGTTTGAAACCTCTGATTATCTTATCACCATTTTCATGTTTTCTCATTAGCTTTTATGTAAAATTCAGTAATACACTTGAATTGAAAATAAACATTATTTAACAAAAGTGGGTGCTAAAATTATCAGCTCTTCAATATGAAGAATGGCATATATAAAAAACCCGTTAGCATCATATACAATGGTGAAAGACTAAAAATCTTTCCCTGAGATCAGGAATAAGACAAAGATGCCTGCTTTCACCTCTGCTATTCAACAATGTGCTGTAAGTTCTAGTGAGAGCAATTAGACAAGAAAATAAAATTATCATTCAAATTGGAATGGTAGAAGTAAAACTATCTCAACTTACAGATGACATGATTCTATATATAATAACACTCTAAGATTCCAGTTGTTAGTACTAATAAATGAATTCAGCAAAATTATTGGGTACAATAACCACATACAAGAATTAGTTGTGTTTCTAATACACCAACAATGAACAATCAGAAAAAGAAATTAAGAAAGCAACTGAATTTCAAATACCATCTAAAACAATAAACTGGGAATAAACTTAACCTAGGAGGTGTTAAGACTTGTCACTGAAAATTACCAACACTACTGGAAGAAATTAGACCTAAATAAATGGAAAAAACATCCCCTGTTAAGAAATAGGAAGACTTAACAGAGTCAAGATGTCAATACTGCACAAAGCAATCTATACATTCAATGCAATCTCTATAAAAAATTCAAAGGACTTTTTTGAAATGGCAAAAGCTATTCCTCAAGCTCACAAAGAATTGCCAGGGACCCTGAGTAGCTGAATCTTGAAAAAGAAAATAGTGGGAGGACTCACACTTCCTGATTTCAAAACTTACTACGAAGCTACAGTAAACAAAACATTGTGGTACTGATGTATAGATAGATGGACACACAAACACATACATATAATGGAATAGAATTGAGTGCGAAAATAAACCTATATATCTATGGCCAACTGATTTTCAAAAATGGTGCCAATCTGAATGCCTTTGATGGGAAAAGAATAGCCTCTCCAATAGATGGTGCTGGGACAAATGTATTTCCACCTCACACCATATACAAATACTAACTCAATAGGGATCAACTTAAATATAAGAGCTATACCACAAAACTCTTAGAAGAACACATAAGGGTGAACATTTATAACAATGGATTTGGCAATGGATTCTTAGACATGAAACCAAAAACACAAAATACACACGCACACAAAAGGTAGACGGGACCTCACCAAATGAAAACTTTTATACATCAAAGGATATTGTGAACAAGTGAAAGGACAAACTACAGAATGAGAGAAAATATCTGGAAAACATTTGACAAAGATTAATATCCAGAATATATGAACAAATTCCTACAACTCAACAACAAAAATATCCAATTAGAAAACGGACAAAGCACTTGAATAGGTATTTCTCCACAGAAGATATAGAGTGGCCAATAACCATACACACGTGAAAAGATGCTCAACATTAGTGTATTGACTATACTCTGCATTCTTGATGCTCTGGCATTAGGAAACTTGATCCTGGAGAGATTGCCCTTCCCATGGCTAGCTAATTCCTCGAGATAGCAAAGAACTCTTAAAAACAAACATGCCTGATACACAAAACAATCCAGAGTTCATACCTCTATCCTCTTGATAAAACTCTCACATATCAAGCCAATATTCCATTCCCCCCATGCTAAATCACACCAGGAACCAGACACCTAGAGACCACCCCTATAGGCCAAAGCTATGGGAAATATTCAAGCTAGCCAATCCTAAACTTTACTTTGCACCCAGCTTTGCGTCCTGCGAAAACCTCAAACTACAGGCTCTGCGCTATAATCTTCCCTTTCCCGGCCCCTGCCTACTGACCAAAGCTGGTGCACCCCCATGGGGCCCTGCATGGTGAGGTGTGCCTCATTTCTAGGAATCTGTTAGTATAAACTTCTTCCTTCATGGCAGTCATCTCCAGATCTGCCTGTCCTACCATACCTGATTAAAATAAATCTCAGGTGCGATTTGTTATAAGTAATAAGAGAAATGCAAATCAAAACCACAAGAGTAATACTTCACACTCACTAGGATGGCTACAATTTAAGAAAACACACTAGCAAGGATATGGAGAAATTAGAATCCTCATACTTTGCTGAGGGAATATAAAATGATGCAGCCATCATGGAATACAGTCTGGTGGTTCCTAGAAAAGCTAAACATACAATTACCCTAGGAACCAGCAATTCCACTCATATATCCAAGGAAACTGAGAGCAAGAACTCTTACAGATACTTGTATTGCAATATTCATTGCAGCATTAATCACAATTGCCAAAAAATAGAAATAATTCGTGTCCATCAAGAGATAAATGAATAAACAAAATATCATATACCCAACCCATACAATGGATAATTATTCAGCCATAAAAAGAAAGTTCTCATACTACAACTTGGATGAAACTTTAAGACATTATGAAAAGTGAAGTAAGTTAGACACAAAAGGACAAACTGTATTATTCAACTTACATGAAATATCTAGAATAGGCAGATTCTTAAAGATAGAAAGTAGATTAGAGACTACCAAGGGCTGAGGCAAGGGAGAATGTGGAATTAATTGCTTAAAGGTTACGGAGTTTCTGTTTGGCGTTATGAAAGAGTTTTGGAAGTAGACAGCAGTGACAGTTAAACAATATTGTGAATATAATTAATGCCACTGAATTGCACTTAAAATGGTTAAAATTATAAGTTTTATGTTATATAGATTTAACCACAATTTTGAAAACCTGATAATGTAGTATATCAGAAACCATTAAATTATACACTTTAAACAGTGAGTTGTATGGTATGAATCGTATGAATCCTCAAACATATATTTAAAACAAAAGAGGAAGCCTGGTCGGCGTGGCTCAGTAGGTTGATAGTTGACCTATGAACCAGGAGGTCATAGTTCAATTCCAGGTCGGGGCACATGCTCGGGTTGTGGGCTCAATCCCTAGTGTGGGGTTTGCAGGAGGCAGCCAATCAATGATTCTCTCTCATCACTGATGTTTCTATCTCTCTCCCTCTCCCTTCCTCTCTGAAATCAATAAAAATATATGTTTTTTTAAAAAGAGAAGGGAGATGCCCTAGCCACTTTGATTCAGTGGATAGAGCGTCGGCCTGAGGACTGAAGGGTCGGTCCCAGGTTCAATTCTGGTCAAGGGCACATGCCCAGGTTGAGGGCTTGATCCCCAGAGGGGGGAGTATAGAAGGCAATCAGTGATTCTCTGTCATCATTGATGTTTCTCTCCCCCCCCCCCCTTCCTCCCTGAAATCAATAAAAATATATTTTAAAAAGGGGGGGGGTAATGAAATTTATTTCCTTTCTGGAAAGAAACAGTCTCACAATAGTGACTTTGACAATAACACAAGCATTAAAAATTTTAGACTTGAATGTTAAACTGATCCAATAAGCAATTTGGAAATTGAATGCTGAGACGAGAATTAATAATGTGGGAGGAATCTGATAATATTGAGGAGAAAGTGAAATTAAGACAAAATGATTAATTAGCAGTGAGAGTCACTGATGATAGACAGAGAAAGTGGTATAAATCTCCTCAAATTGTTGCTGTGGTGTTTTGTTTTGTTTTTAATTACCCAGCACCTTGGCCACATAGGTTTTGTGATGTTTGTGAAAATTCCCTGACAGTATGTGGGCTCTTTTGTGTTATTATGTTTCAACAAGTTTTGAAAGTTATCCAATGAATAACTTTTTAACAAAGATTTAGAAATGTACTCCATACTTGTATTCTTAAATAATCAGATCACTCATGTGTTTCTTCTTCGGATCCAAAATATTAGTTTACATTAGTCCTACCCCCACATTCAGATTTTCATTTTCTTACTTTTAATATTCTTCCAGCTCTATCAATAAATTTTCAACCCACTTTTCAAGATTCCCATCTGCATGAAAATACAGATTTTTCTCCTTCTACATATCAAATTTAAGTTTGTTTATTTTTACTGAGGCCCTCACTCCCACCAATCCATTCATAAAACTGCAGGAAGATAACATTAATTGTGGTGCGGTAGCAAGAGCAGCGATTTGGGCAGTGGCAGAAGCTCTATTCTCAGCAGTAGTCTTGCTCTACTCACTTATCTTTAATGTTCCAACCTCTTCCAGCCAGCAGAAAATTATCATCTATAACAGATCACACTCTTCTCTTCTTATAAACCACTTTAAATTACCTTTGATCTTTTGTTTGGTGTATATGCTTTTGCATTGCTAAATATCAACCGGATGTCTTTGCAAAATTCCAAAGGGCTGTCATAATTTTCCGCTTCTAAAGTCTCCCTTACTGTTCCAAAATCCATTGGAGTATCTATAATATCTCGATAGTCCTAGGTTTTAAAAACAATAATTAGTTCAAAATTTTCATTCCTGCTTATAGAAATATAAGTGCATCAGATCTCTAAAATATTAAAAACTGGTGCACAAAATTTGTTCACTGGGGGGGGGGGGCGGGGGGGGGTCCTCAGCCCAGCCTGTGCCCTCTCGCAGTCCAGGAGCCCTCAAGGGATGTCTGACTGATGGCTTAGGCCCACTCTCCATGGAGATGGGGCCTAAGCTGGCAGTCAGGCATCCGTAGTGCTGCAGTGGTGGCGGGAGAGGCTCCCACCGCTGCCGCTGCGCTCACCAGCCGTGAGCCCAGCTCAGGGCTTCTGGCTGAGTGGCACACCCGCTGTGGGAGCACACTGAACACCAGGGGGCTGCTCCTGCATTGAGCATCTGCCCCCTGGTGGTCAGTGCACATCATATCAACCACTCGTTCTGCTGTTTGGTCAATTTGCATAATACACTTTTATTATATAGGATTATAGAAGAGAAAAAAATTAGAAGGAGCTTAAGAATCATTAATAACTTTTTAAAAAACATGACCCAGACATAAAGACAAGGTAAGAAATAACCAAGTATACTTGGTAGCAGGACATAGACTGGTATTTTTATTTGGTTTTTTTTTTTCAAATTATAAGAGAAAGTTTATTTAGAAAGTTACAAAGCTAGCAAAAGTAAGCCAGCTGGACTGTGCAGGCTCACAAAACCAGTTTCAGATGCAGAAGGGCCCTTGAAGCTTAGGAGAGGGAAAGGCAAAGGTAATACACCTGGTGGGAGTGTGGGGGAGAAGAGGGGTCAGGAAAGGGAGAGCCAGACATGGACTGGTTTTTATTTCCTTCTTTACATCTTTTGTCATTTCCAAGCTTTTACAGTAAGTTTGTGGTTTACTTTCTGACTTTTTTTTTTAAGGTCATTTTCCATTCCTTTATTACTAGAGTGAAAACAGACACTTTTTACACAATTTTCAGTTTTCCTGGCGCTGGGACTTCTTAGATAATAGATACCATGTAGAATTCTCCCATTATTAGGTAACTATCTTAATGGTAAGAGAAAAAGCTAACATGAAACTAGACATCTTACTCTTTAAAAGTTTAATTTAAATACCTCTACATCGATCTCCTCTAACAAACTTTAAAAAGCCCCAAACATTCAAAAAAATGGGAACTTACTGGATATTCAACCAAATCAACAGGTTGTCTAAATGGTTCAGAATCTTCACATTGAAAAATTAAGTTCACTAGTTCCTTACACTGTTTCTTCCAGTTGCTTTCAACATAGCTGGTGGCTTTGCTGCTCCTTTTTTTCCAATCATGGCCCTAAAAATATATTCACAATATCGAAAGTATTTTTAGTGTTGGGAAAATGACACTATAATATCGTATTTGACTTTCTATCTACTTGGAAAAAATCCACTTTTCTGTAAAAATCCAATGTCACATCTAGAAACAGGTTACTCTAGAAACATTTTTCAATCCAGCACTGATCTCCCACATCTAGAAAATGTTTTCACAGAATTTGAAATATCACATTGGATAGTGGTAGGCAGAATCAGAATAATGACTCAAAGATATCTGCATCCTAATGCCAAGAACCAGGGACTATGTCACTTTACATGGCAGCTGTGATTAAAGGCATGCTCTTGAGATGGGGAGACTGTCCTAGATTATCTGGCTGTGCCCAATGTAATCACAAGGGTCCTTACAAGTGGAGGCAGAGGGTCAGAGTCAGACTGTAAGATGTTACACTGCTGACCTGAAGGTGGCCATGAGCCTCTAGAACAGCCGTGGGCAAACTATGGCCCTCGGGCCGGATCCGGCCCATTTGAAATGAATAAAACTATTGAAAAAAAAGACCATACACCCTTTTATGTAATGATGCTTACTTTGAATTTATATTAGTTCACACAAACACTCCATCCATGCTTTTGTTCCGGCCCTCCGGTCCAGTTTAAGAACCCACTGTGGCCCTCGAGTCAAAAAGTCTGCCCACCCCTGCTCTAGAAGCTGGAAAATGTGAGGACACGAATTCTACCCTAGAGTTCCCAGAAGGAACACAGCCATGCCGACACCCTGATTGTAGCCCAGTGAGACCATGTCAAACTTCTAATTTATGGAATGTAACATAACATTTTTGTTGTTTAAGCCACCGGATTTGTAATTTGCTAGAGCAGGCATAGCAAATTCTAAACAGGTACTAAACACTTGGGAAAATTATATGAAAATGACAAATCAGATGATGGAAATTCAAGTCTAACTTTTCCATGTTATCTGGGGCAAGCATATTATGAAAACTTTTATTAAAAGCTTAAAGTTTAAGCAGCATTTGGATGAAATTTAAAATGTTAACATTTTTGAGCATTCCTTGACTTTTAATTAACATATTACATTAAAACTTCAAGAGTTCTGCTGGTGACACTACAATTCTAACTACCCAATATCCAAAACTTATTTCCATACATCCCCCAACTAATCCTCATTTTTTTTAAAAAAGGTTCAGTTACCAAATGCTAGTTAATTTTTCCCTTCAAATGTCTCATCTTCCTCCCTTCCTTTCCATTCCAAGCAAACACCATCCTTGACTAGATTCCCATCCTTTACTCCCAGATTCTTGCAATAAACTCCTAACTCATTTCCTTTACCACCTATCTTTATATCCCTCAAAATATATTTGTCAATTTTGACTGTGCAGTTTATTCTCTACTTTAAATGAAAACCTTGGTTTTCAATATCACCATTATTGGCTCCCAAAATAACAGCCAGACATAGCCACTTTGCTTATTCCAGCATGTACCCTCTACACCAGTCAGACCGGCGCTCTCAGCAGCCCACTAACATGCCACACTTTCCTACTTTTTCGGTTTGGATTGTAATATCCCCTACTTTTTTATTGTTTTAACTCCATCTCATTCTGAGAAAATAGTTAAAATCCCAAGTCTTCCACTAAACCTTACCTAACTATCCAGCTTTCAGTGATTACTCCCCTTTCTCTTACAAAATATTCCATAACTATATCAATGTAACTTTTCAAAGACAACACCTAAGACCTTAGGTTGATTTTAAACAAAGAATAAGTAAACAACAAAGATTAATCAGGCAGATTAACTTACTCTTCTTCTTCCAGAAGATGTTTTAGGGAGATCACTATCATCCTAGAAATAAAAATCAGAGCACCTTAAGTGTTAACATTCTCATTAAAATTGCAATAATTTTAATTTAAAAAGTATATGAAAGATAAGGTTATAACTTATTAACAAAATCTCAAAAGACAGACTATATTGGATAATCTTTGTGGTACGCAGAGTCTAACCAACCAACTATTCTTAATACCCTATACATTCCCTAAGAACATGCATTAATTCCAAAACATAGCTATAAAAGGCAGCTTTACATTTGTGTTTTATTTCTATGCAGAAATCCCAGAAACAGTCTCCTACAATTCCTGCACATCTGTACTCTCCACAGTTTCTTATTCCCTAAATCTATACCCATTTTTAATCCAATATAAATTAGCATGCGAATCAGTGAACTAAAGTTTGTGTAGAAATTAAGCTATGTTGGTGGGGTTTTTTACGCCATATTGTTTTTAAAGGCTATCTTCCCTGTAAACAAATCCAACAGCCTGATTCTCAAAAAGGGCAGCATCACTGCTACTTGCCTCACTGACACTTCAAAACCATCCCCAGGAAGGACTCTAGGGTACATGAGCAGGTAAAGCTTGTGCATTCTCAACTGCAATTAAATCCATGCTCAGATATGGGTTTTACAAAAAATAATTTCCAAGGTACTTCTTTAATGTACCTTTCTCTAGTGAAAATTTGTAAAGAGAACATATTCCAAGCCTAAGTTGTTCACTTTAACATATTTTGTTTGGTATATTGATAATCAATTATTGGCTAAAACAAATTATGCCACTATCTAGATAATTAAAAATGTTTTTATCAAGTGCCCTATTTTCATAGTAAGTTGGAATATAGCAAGAATTGATATACTTAATCAACATTTTGTACTTCACTCATTCTTTCAAGTTACCATTTGAAATTAACAAAAATCATTGTAAAATTGACAAACTTCATACCAAAGCCTTGGCATTTTGCTCATCATTTTCAGAAGTGTTAGAAAGTTCTGAGATATCTGTACAGTCTTGATTCCTAAAAAAACAATTTTTCATTTTTTTAACAGTATGCAGATGTCGTTATTGTTGCCAAAGATTCAAACTACAGGTTAGATATAAACAGTTGCTCAACTATGCATACCTAATTTCAACCAGAGAAATATCAGGTTTTTAACTCTACCCTCTGTGGAAACAACTATCTTGCAATATGAAAAGTAAGGGGGTTTTTTCAGTTAAATATACACGAAAATTTAGCTGGTAATCCAGGAATAACAAATATATGGCCTCAGTTAATGAATACACGGAGAAATTTTTCTTAGTATCATCACAAGTAATACTCATAGGATGAGTACCAGGAAAATAGTTTATTTGAGATAAAAGAGAATAGAAGAAAAAAAGGAAGTAGAACTTAAAGCAAATTATATCTTAACCTCACTGTAAAAACAGAACAAATCCTAAAGCAGTGATATCCAGGCATAAAGGAGATGAAAATGATATGTGATCTTCCTGAAGAAAGAAAGAAGTATGTTCTGGGAAAGAGGTAGTAAGTCCAAGTCCCCCAAACATAGGACAGATTTAACCCAGAAAAGTGACATAGACTGCAACTTGTTGCTACATATTGAAAATGATGGCATAACTTATAAATTATCTTCTCTAATACAGTATTCTTTTACAGAATTTTTTTATAGCTATGGGGAAAAGGCATATAAGATCATATAGCAAAACTCACTAATTTTAAAGGATACAGGCTGAATAATTTGTCCACACAGAATATTCACTAGATGATATTAAGCTAGACCTTGGATCCTGATTTCCAGGTCAGTTTTCATTGCACTATTCCAATTCTGATTCCCAATGCAGGAAATTATGTGTAATATCCATGCATGTACAAACACTCTCACAGGACACAGATTTAATCCAAAGATAAAACTCAAATCTAATCATGAGGAAATATCATACAAACCCAAATTAAGAACCAGTGAAAAAGTAATTGTCTAACACTTATAAAAAATGACAAGGTCATGAAAGAAAGGAAAGACTGGGGAACAGGTTAAAGAAAATGTAGAAATTGAAAACAGTGAGCATGATGGGGATTCTGGATAGGATCCTGATACAGAAAAAGGACATTGATATAAAAACTAAAAATCCAATTAATGCCCTAGCCGGTTTGGCTGAGTGGATAAAGCATCAGTCTGTGGACTCAAGGGTCCCGGGTTCGAGTCCTTTCAGGGACACATGCCTGGGTTGCAGGCTCGATCCCCAGTAGGGGGCCTTCAGGAGGCAGCCGATCAATGATTATCTCTCATCATTGATGTTTCTATCTCACTCTCCCTCTCCCTTCCTCTCTGAAATCAATAAAAATATATTTTTAAAAAACAAAAACCAATAAAGTGTTACAACTACAGTCAATAGCACTGTACCAAGACTAGTTCCTTAGCATTTCATCAGGACATCACAGATATGTAAAAAAATGTTACCCAAGTGGAAACAGATACATGTAAGTGGCAAATGTCTATAGTTTAAAATACTTCAAAATGTTAAAAAGTAGAAAAATTTGGATTAATTTCTCATTCCTGTACAGACATTACAATCACAGTAAGTATGTAAAGAAATGTCATTTAAAGTAACACATTAAAAAAGTATCAAATTCGCCAAAACCGGTTTGGCTCAGTGGATAGAGCATCGGCCTGCGGACTGAAAGGTCCCAGGTTCGATTCCGGTCAAGAGCATGTACCTTGGTTGCGGGCACATCCCCAGTAGGAGATGTGCAGGAGGCAGCTGATCGATGTTTCTCTCTCATCAATGTTTCTAACTCTCTATCTCTCTCCCTTCCTCTCTGTAAAAAATCAAAATATATTTTTTAAAAAAAACGTATCAAATTCAGAGAGCAAAAATTAAGCACTAGATCGCTGCAAGAACACAATATGCAAAGTCACTCACTTTTCCACATCTATAACATGAAGTCACTTACTTGATAAATTTTAGAAGCTGGTCAGTTATCTTCTTAGCTGATCTTGCAATTACACTCTCAGGCTCATTAAATGTTCTGGCATTGTGCTCTATGTATCTGACTTCCCAAACCAATGCAGATAGCCTCCTTCAAAATAAAAAGGCACTTTATGGTTTAGAAAATAAAAAGACAGAAATCAAGTAAAGACACCAAGCATGTTAAGCCAGCATGATATATTAATTAAAAAAAAAGTGCAACTCGATCCCTGGTGGGGGCATGTGGGAGGCAGCCGATCCGATGATTCTCTCTCATCATTGATGTTTCTATCTCTCTCTCTCTCCCTCTCTCTTCCTCTCTGAAATCAACAAAAAAAAATTTTTTTTTACAGTGCAAAGTAACAATGAATAACCTTCTCATGCTGTCAACTTGGTCATAGTCATAGCAATTATATTGGAAGATGAACTGCACAGATACATTTAAGGACCAAAAAAATCTTAACAGATCAGTTAATCACATCCAGAAAAACAACAGAACAATCCTCCCTTTTCACAATGCCTATGGGTACATTTGAAGCTGTTGAGACTCAATAAAGAAAATGTGTTCAACATCATCAATCCTAAGAGTCAATCTTACTGTAAAGTAACAAAGGGATTTCTGATCAAATGCACATTTCCATGTTTGACTACAGAGCTAAATTATATCAACAACGTGAACTCAAGAAATCAGTTTTTATTTTTTAAAAAAGTTTTTATTGATTTTTAGAGAGAGGAAGGGAGAGGGCGAGATAGGATCCTTGATCGGTTGCTTCCTGCACACCCCCTAACGTGGATCGAGCCCGCAACCCTGACCTGGAATTGAACCAGTGACCTCTTGGTGCATAGGTCGATGCTCAACCACTGAGCCACACTGGCCAGGCTTATAAAATTTTTCAAAATAGTTGAATTATAAAAAATAAGATACCTTCTATTGCTTTAAAAAAAATCATTGAGAATAGGAAATTTTATAGCTATCAGTGCTCTAGAAGCCAGAGATAAAACACACATTGCTTTAGGATATTAATCTTTCAAAGGCCAAAGTCCACTTATTAACTAAATTAAATTTTATTTTATTATTTTTTAAATATATTTTATTGATTTTTTACAGAGAGGAAGGGAGAGAGATAGAGAGCTAGAAACATCGATGGGAGAGAAACATCGATCAGCAGCCTCCTGCACACCCCCCACTGGGGATGAGCCCGCAACCAAGGTACATGCCCCTGACCGGGATCGAACCCGGGACCTTTCAGTCCGCAGGCTGACGCTCTATCCACTGAGCCAAACCGGTTTCGGCTTAAATTTTATTTTTAAATGGAACAGGTATATAGGAATGTTAAACATACAAATAAAAATTTAACCTCTCCCTGCCGGGTAGCTCAGTTGGTTAGTGTTGTATATACGTCAAGGCTGTAGGGTTCACTCCCCAGTCAGGGCCATCAGGGCACATGCAGGAAGCAACCAATGAATGCATAAATAAGCGGAATGCAAATTGATGTTTCTCTCTCTCTCTCAAAAAAAAAAAAAGACTACAGAACATAATTTGTAAGAAAAAAAGAAAGACAAACTACTTAAGGAATGAAATCTGGTAATTTTTCTTATCCAGGTTCTAATCATACCTACCCACAGGCACCTAACACAATGTCTTACAGGACCAAGAAATTACGATAATAAAAAAAGAAAATGAAACAAAAAATGTTAGTCAGTCCCCATTCCACCACTGTCACCATCAACTACCATTACCTCATTTACTCTAGTTGGTTCAGCCAAGTATCTTTTCAAACTATTTTTAAAATAGGTTTTACTAACCTGTAAAATCGATTAACAAGTCTCATTCGAATAGTGTAAAGATCAGTTGGGTAAGCCACTACAGTACAGTACTTCGGGTACGTACACAGATCAACTGGACCTGCAAAAGCTGCTGCTATATCTGTCAGGGCAGACAGAAGAGTTTTTATTAATAAATTCATAACCCCTCAGTGATATTTCTCCACAAATAATTCATAAAATACACTAAAGCTACATTTAATATTGCAAGCTTAACCAACACGTAATAAGTAGGAACTGTAGTAATAAACACAACCACGATTATGATACTTTTAAATACTTGTGTGGAAAAGCCTGAACATGAAACTTTTCATACTAAAAAAACTTACCGAGATTCATAAGTTGATCTATGCCACTAATAATTCGTTCACATTCTTCATCCCTCGATTTTTGACCCCATTCACCATCTTGTGGTTTGTAGAGCAATTTCTCTAGCTCATCTGAAGTAACAGAAATACTAGCTCCTAATTCTTCAGGTGGATCAACTATGAATTCCATTAAAAAAGAACACAAAGAATAAAACAAATATACACTACACTTAAATTCAATTCAAAGATCTATAAAGAAGACACTAATTACAAAGGACAAAGTAGTTACTTAATAGCAGAGAAAACTGGCAGACACCACTGCAATCAAATGGTTAAAGTTAACAGCATAAACTGGTATCATGTGCCTCCCAATATATGCATGGAAAACACATTTCTCTAACCCTCTTGCCTCAAATGCAAACCCTGGGTTTAATTGTGAAAATAAAAAACAAACAAACAGCAGACAAACCCCAACTGAGGAAAATTCTACAAAATAATTGGCCAGTATTCTTAAAGTGTCATGGTCATGAAAGAATGAAAAGACGCAGGGACCCCAGACTAAAAGAGATTAAGATGGCACGGCAATGAAATCCATATGTGAAAGGACATTAGGACAATGATCTAAATTTGAAGGCCTATGGATTAGAATTGTATCAATGATAACTTCCTGATTGATAGCTGCACTATAAATTACTTAAGATGTTAACATTTGAGAAAACTGGGTATTCATAAATTCAATGTACTATTCTTGTGACATTCTGTAAGTCTCAAATTATTCCAAAACAAAATATTTTGAAAGTGCAATAAAGCCCAGCCAGCATAGCTCAGTGGTTAAGCATCAACCTATGAACCAGGAAATCACGGTTTGATTCCCAGTCAGGGCACATGCCCGAATTGTGGGCTCGATCCCCAGTGTGGGGTATGTAGGAAGCAGTCAATCAATAATTTTCTCCCACTGGTGTTTCTATCTCTCTCTCCTTTTCCCTTCCTCTCTAAAATCAATAAAAATTAAATTAAAGTTTTAATTTAATTTAATATAAAGCCCAGCCAATTTGGCTCAGTGGCTGAGTGTTGGCCATGAATCAGGAGATCACGGTTCAATTCCTGATCAGGGCACATGCCTCGGTTTTGGGCTCAATAAATCAATAAAAACATATTTGAGTGGGAGGGGGGCACTGTTTGAAGTCTGGGTTAGAATGACTTGGGTTAGAATCTTAACTCCTACCCTTTCTAGATGTGTGTATGACTTAAACAAATTACTGCAAACTCTCTGAACCTTATTTCTTTCATCTGTAAAATAACAAGAGCATCAACCTCAGAGCAGGATTAGATGAAATGACATGCACAAAGCTCTTTGAAACAGAGTAAGACCTCAAAATATGCTGGGTTTTGCCTTGGCCCGTTTGGCTCAGGGGATGGAGCATTGGCCTGAGGACTGAAGAGTCCCAGGTTCGATTCCGGTCAAAGGCATGTGCCTTGGTTGTGGGCACATCCCCAGTGAGGAGTGTGCAGGAGGCAGCTGAATCGATGTTTCTCTCTCATCGATGTTTCTGACTCTCTATCCCTCTCTAAAAAATCAATAAAATATATTTTTAAAAAAATGCTGGGTTTTGGGGGAAGGTCAATGGGGAAAAAAGGAGATATATGTACTACTATTTGTAATACTTTGAACAAGAAAACAATTTTAAAAATGCTGGGTTTTCCTTATCTATTACATGCTTTCTACATTGAAAAATGACTTTTCGTATTATTTATAAGATACTATGCTCAAATGAAAATCTAACAAAGGGAGATCACTGGGGACTTTCAAGAGTGTAGTTATTAGAAACATATTTTTTGAAAAAAAATTCTCATTTCCATAAAAATCCTTATTTCCAAAGTAAACCATGACAATGGTTGATGGAGCCGTATCAGAGAGTAAACACAAAGAAAAGGGGTTGGCCCCTAAGGCAGACACAGAAAAACTCGTGGAGCAAGACTTCATGTCAAAAAGTGGTGGGGGTGAAAGGACAAAAGTTTTTTGTTTGTTTTTACACTGAATAAATACTAATTCTATATAATAAGAGAGGGATATGCTAATTAGCCATGACCCATATGCAAATTGACCATCACTCCAACACACAAGATGGCCGCCCCCATGTGGCCACAAGATGGTCTGCAGGGGAGGGCAGTTGAGGGGGACCAGGCCTGCATGGGAGGACAGCTGGGGAGGATCAGGCTGGCCGGGGAGGGGAGTTGCGGAGGGCCCAGGCCAGCAGGAGAGGGAAGTTAGGGGTGACCAGGACGGCAGGAGAGTGGTTAGGGGCTGATCACGCTGGCAGGCAAGCGAGCGTTTGAGAGCCAGCTGTCCTGGATTGTGAGGGGGTTGTTCGACTGCCCACTGGGATCGGGCCTAAACGGGCAGTCGGACATCCCTGGAGGGGTCCCAGATTGGAGAGGGTGCAGACTTGGCTGAGGCGCATGTGTACACGCACACACACATCCATGGATTTTGTGCACCAGGCCTCTAGTATAAAAGGAAGCTTGAGAGTGAAGAAACAGGAGGCAAGAGACACAGAGCAAAAGTCTACAAGAAGGAAATAACTAGTAGATAAAATGTTCACGAAAGCCAAGTGAAAGCTCTTTTAAGGTACAGGAGATAAACTCAAACTTAAAAGGAGAAAGGAAAGAGAAAACTAGAACTGGCAGGGGATGAACTAAGGGTTGAGTGTCAGGTCCCACAGAAGTAGAAGCAGTGGGCAGCAAGCACTGAAGGGAGAGGCTGGCTCACAACAGGCATCTCTCTCTAAGGAAAGAAAGAGACCACCCACAGTCAGATAGACAAGCTGAGGTGAAGCAGAAGACAGAAGTCAAGTTAGATATTCCCTGTGAAGAAAGACCAGGGTAACAGAGGAGAATGAGGACAAGGCAATGGAGGCCACGGGAAGGAGGGCGGCAGAGCTTTAAGCTTCCATGAGAATGGCAGTAGGCCCCTAAGACACAGCCAGCATCAAGCTGGAAACACAGGATAAGAAATGATGAACCAGATACACATAATTCTGTTGACTTCTTTTTTTCACAGTTACCATAATAATTTGAAAACATGTCTTAAAGAATACAATTCACTCTATGTGCATTAGTAAGGTAACAAAATTAAAAATATAAAGATAAAATACGTTCATTATTTAACAATTACATACCATTATCAGGAATTGGTTCCATATCCCATGGGCTAAGCTTTTCAATTTCAGTATTGTCCCACCTGTTAATACCAAAAGAAAAGTCTGGTTAACCTTTCCTAAATTCAACATGTGGCTAATAAGTAGGTATCCACTACAAGAGTAGACAGGAAGACAGAAAATGTAAAAATTAACTGCAACGTAGCAGTAAGTTTAAATACTAACAGTAAAAAATGTTTAGAAGGATACATGATAAGAATTAAGTGTAAAAGTGGATGGCGGGTTCAAGGTAAAAACCAGAAGTCTTGTGTGGCCTGTCCCAGGTTAGTGAAGAAAAACTCAAACAGTGTGAAGGTCTTGAATGTGATGCTTCAGAATGTGGACTTTATTCCACAGCCCATGGAAAGGCAGAAAAGATATTTTTGAACAAAGGAAATGACGTAATTTGTGTTCCTGAACTATGATCCTGCAATGTCAGGATCAAGGTGGAGAAAATATTAGGAAGCTACAGAAAAGGTCCCAAGAAAGCAAGCAGAGACTGCACTACCAGGGTTACTAGTGAATAGGAAACGACAGGGGCATGCGAAAGAGACACTGCAGAGGTGAGGCTGATAGGACTTAATGACAGATTAAAATTGTGGGGTTTTTTAAACCTGAAATGTATTATTTGTTCATACAACAACCTACCACAGTGAACAAATGTTTATAGATGATTCATTTTCATCTGCATACAGACCTAACAATGTAACACTGGAAATGACTATCAGGGTATTGTGGCTGATAGGGCTCTTGACTTAGCACTGTTCCAAACCACCAGGCATCATCAATGATAGAACGGAACCTGTCACCTAGAAGAGATATGACCCAGTCTGAGACACAAGTTTGCAATACTAACATTTTTTATTTATGAAATATCACATAATAAAGATTCAGTAAAGATAATGTAATCAAAGCATGTTTTATGTTAGAATTAGCCATCTGTCCCCACTTCTCAGCAATCTTCAGTGATAAAACAGATGTAAAAAAGATTACACTCAGCAAATTAATGAAGGTACATAACCACCCTATATAATAAAAGGCCAGAGGCGTCACGACTGAACAACCAGAGACCAGACCACCACAGCCCACCCCCAAGCAAGCAGTTAGGGACAATTAGGCAGGCAGAGTGGTTAGGGGTGTTCAGGTAGGCAGACCAGTGGTTAGGGGCAATCAGGTAGGCAGGCCAGCAGTTAGGGTTGATCAGGTAGGCAGATGGCCCCTCGCTGGGTTGGCCCTGCCCCCAAGCAAGTGGTTAGGGGCAATCAGGCAGGCAGGCAAGTTGTTAGGGGCGAACAGGTAGGCAGGCAGAGTGGTTAGGGGAGATCAGGTAGGCAGACAGAGTCATTAGGGGCCATCAGGCAGGCAAGCAGAGTGGTTAGGGGTGATCAGGCAGGCAAACCAGCCGTTAGGGGTGATCAGGTAGGCAGGCCACTGGTTAGGGGCAATCAGGTAGGCAGACAGCCCCTCGCTGGGCTGGCTTTGCCCCCAAGCCATTGCACTCCAGCCTGTCACCTGTAGAGGGAGGCCACCAGTGGCAGGGGAGGTGGGGCAGCACTGCACAGATGGCAAGCAGTGGCAGGGGTAGGGCCAGCTGCCTGCAGCCGGGGGAAGGAAAGCCCCAATAGGCCCTGATCTCAGGCCAGTCCTAAGGACTCTACCCGAGGAGCCCCGGATTGTGAGAGGGTGCAGACCAGGCTGAGGGACACCCCCCACACCAGAGTACACGAATTTTCGTATACCGTGCCTCTAGTACAACTTAATACGCTAAAATGGTTTATAACTAGGTTCTATGGTTTAGTGAATCCAAACACCCACTCCAAAATAAATTGTTACATTCACATGAAACGAAGAAGAAAGTTTAACAAAATTCAAAAATCTCTTACAATAATGTATACTATCAATAAACACTTGTGTAGTAAGAATCCTATCCTATATAATAATCCTATATAATAAAAGGGTAATATGCAAAACGGGAACAACTGGTCACTATGATGCGCACTGACCATCAGAGGGCAGATGCTCACTGCAGGAGCTGCCTACTGGTGGTCAGTGCACTTCCTCAGGGGGAGCACCACTCAGCCAGAAGCCAGGCTAATAGCTGGAGAGCACAGCACAACAGCAGTGGCGGGAGCCTCTTCCACTTCCACGGCAGCACTAAGGATATCCAACTGCCAAAGAATATCCGACTGCCAGCTTAGGCCCGCTCTGTCAGTTGGACATTCCCTGAGGACTCAAGGACTGCAAAAGGGCACAGGCCTGGCTGAGGGACCCCGACCCCCACCCCATGCTTCATGCACCAGGCCTCTAGTATTAAATACATACTTATAAATTATTTCCTAGTTGTAATTTCAAATTTGTCCTGAGAGAAGGTGAGTGTAACTTCCACCTACTCTTCTGCCATCTTGGATCTCCATTAAGAATTTTGAAATAGCCAAAACCGGTTTGGCTCAGTGGATAGAGCGTCGGTCTGCGGACTGAAAGGTCCCAGGTTCGATTCCGGTCAAGGGCATGTACCTTGGTTGCAGGCATATCCCCAGAGGGAGATGTTCAGGAGGCAGCTGATCGATGTTTCTCTCTCATCGATGTTTCTAACTCTCTATCTCTCTCCCTTCCTCTCTGTAAAAAATCAACAAACTATATTAAAAAAAAAAAAAAGAATTTTGAAATAAACCTTTTTGGGCCATTCATGGTGAGGGTAAACTTCTAAGTAAAATTCTCAATCAGTTTAAACAGAAACAAGCAAAATCCTCTAATAGCACAACTCAAACTTCAGGAGAATAGGTTAAGATTTGATGGGGAAGCAAAAATGAATTAATTAGTATAGAATATCTGCTACAATAATTTCTCAACCACAAAAACAAAACAAAACCCACTAAATTATAAGAGGCAATTAGGAATCCATCTATACAATTTAGCTGTAGAAAATGAAGTTTAAAAATATTTTTGAAAAGACATGTTGGCAGAACAAAATAAGAGCTTCTGACTTACACGTGATGGAGGTTGAAAAAATATTAACAGATAAGATACTCTAAGCTCTTTAGGATTTGGCTGTATGACTTGTTAACACCCACATACTCTAGCTGTCTCTTATCTATGTATGGCTAGATGTTTTTCTTCAAAAAAAATTTCCTTTACCTCTAGTTCCAAAATAATCTTGATTCCTTGTTTGACATTACTGGTAAAAATAGTTTACTAAGAGCAGCAACACTCTGACAATCTTTTGTTTCAGTACAGGTGTCTTAAAATTTATCTGAAAAGTGTCTGTTTATAGTTTCTGAGGTCTTAACATCCTTTATGAATGTGTACACCAAAAGACACAGCCTGGGTAAAAAATATTTCTAGTAAGAGACCAAAACTAACAATAGCAGAAAAAGTTATTCTAAGTGATTGTCAATATGAGCTTCCCAAGATAACAGTGCATAATTAAAAGTAATACTGTCTGTACACCTGTAAAACAGGCACTACAGGTGCTAAGGCCTAATTACCAACATCAATTATGTCCTGAAGAGATCAATGATCTACACAAATTAAGGCCCTAAGCAAGTAAGCCCATCAGCCCACCTGCAATGGCCACCATAAAAGCCACATTTAAGTTAGAGCCCATGCCGAGGTGATTTTATTTTTTCTGTCCACCCATATACCTCATGATTATAAAGCATTAAGTGTAACATAAGCTTTTTAATTTTTAAAAATAGTTTCCTCAAGTCAGCCTATTTAAGTCTTACTTGACATGACATCTAAGGTAGAATATTCTGTGTGCCAGACATTACCTGTGTGAAGTCTGCATTATTTTTCAACTTTCTTATTATTTTATATAAGATAATTTTGTGAATTAACCAGAGCCATGTTAAATATAATTAGAAATAATGCAGTATGGGGAAGTCTGAAAGGAAATAAAAGGTCTACTCTAGTCTACTCAATGAGAAATATCCCTTCAAAACATCGCATGTCATAAGAAATGTTGTTTGGCTAAAAAGTCCACTAAGTAGTAAGCACCAAGCCTCTAAGCAAAATAAACTTTTAAGTCACTTATGTTTCTTTGCAGAATTTATAAGTTTGCATCCACCCATCAAAGGATATATATGAATTCAGTTAAGGATAGACTTACAAGATTGCCAATTCCTCTGTCTTGCTTCATCATAAAATTGACGCAACACAAGAAAGTCAATAACATCTGGCATATCATGATATCTAAACAAAAATAAGATTATTAAACTCCTTGGGTAGCAAGTTATAGTTTAGAGCAACACTGTCCAAAATAAATACAATGGGAACCACATATGTAATTTTTAAACTTTGACTAGCCTTATTAAAAAATAAAAAGAAACCAGTGAACTTAAATTTTAATAGTGTATTATATTTAACCAAGTATATCCTAATATTGTTTCACCATGCAGTCAATACAAAATAATGGTATTTTACATTCTTTTTCTTCAAACGAAGTTTTCAAAATTCAGTGTGTATACTTATGTCACACTCTATTCTTATCAGCCACATTTCCAGTGCTGAATGGCCACATGTAGCTAATGGCTACCATTCACAAGTTTATAAAATTATTTTTATTTCTAGTGGGTTCCCATCTATCGGAACTTAAACCCACATCTTAGGCTGTCCACACTGCTCAACTATTTACCCTGCAGCTAAATGGAAAGAGCATGCTAACCAGCAAGAGAAAAAAATCTAAATTTGTTTTTTTATTTTAGAGAAAATCTAAATTTAAATAATCCCATAAAAAATAACACTTACCTAATAGAGAAAGATTTGTCCATAAGTTTTCCATTTGCAGGATCTATAAATGCTAGTTTGAGGCAACAGAGTGTAGGGGGTCCAACCTCATATCGTATTCCAACTATTTTGACCAACTCTTGATCCTTCAACAGATTTAAAAACAATAAATAAATATCAATTCCTCCAGACTCTAATTCTCCACATACTGCAAAATTTAATCAACTCACAATTTAGGCTTCCAACTCACAATTTAGCAGACCAGTTTCAGTGACTATTAAATACAATTATTTTTGCTAAAATTAATCTTCGCATCTTTTTTAAGATAAACATTTAATACGGTTACTAATGTAAGGCGTATATTCACTTTAGAAAATACGATAATCCCCCGTGATCCCACTTCTAGGAATACATCCCAAGAAACCAGAAACACCAATCAGAAAGGATATATGCACCCCTATGTTCATAGCAGCACAATTCACCATAGCTAAGATCTGGAAACAGCGTAAGTGCCCATCAGTAGATGAATGGATTAGAAAACTGTGGTACAGCTACACGATGGAATACTATGCTGCTGTAAAAAAGAAGGAATTCTTGCCATTTGCAATAGCATGGATGGAACTGGAGAGCATTATGCTAAGTGAAATAAGCCAGTCAATGAAGGAAAAATACCACAATCTCACTGTCAAACTACAGCGGGAAGGCCGGGGAGGGATTGGGGGGGGGGGGGGGGGGGGTAAGAGATCAACTGAAGGACTTGTATGCATGCATATAAGCATAACCAATGGACATAAGACACTGAGGGGTAGGGGAGGCCAGGGGACTGTCAAGGGAGGGGAAAAAAGGAGACATATGTAATACTCTTTGTAATACTTTAAGCAATAAAACAATTTTTTAAAAAAAGAAAATACAATACCCCCCCCCCCCCCCCATTCTTGGTTTCCTTTCTGCTGTTTTAGTTACCTGTGGTCAACCATGGTCCAAATAGCAAATTCCAGAAATAAACAGTTTGTAAGTTTTACATTGTGGGCCATTCTGAGTAACATGATGAAATTTTGTGCTGCCCCACTGGGGACTAGAGTCATCCCTTTGTCTAGCGTATCCACTTTGTATAAACTACCTATATGGTAGTCACTTAGAGGCCATCTCAACTATGACAATGACAACTGTTTTGGTACAGGGAAGCTTAAGGTTTTCTAAATTATGCACAAAGTTAAGCCTTTTTCCCATTTGTATTTCTTCTTTTGAAACTTGCACTGCTTGAAGGCAGCCAATCAATGATTCCCTCTCATTGATTTTTCTATCTCTCCCTCTCCCTTCCTCTCTGAAATTAATAAAAAAATATATTAAAAAAGAAATTTGCACTGCTTTTAAAAATCTGTCCTGGGTATGCACATTTAAAGATTACTGATATATATTGTAAAACTGCCTTTCTTATAATTTTACATGTCAATCAATAATATATGAAGACTGCCCACTGATAAACGTAAGTCTTCCTACTAGATCTTAAGGCTTAGATGTAACAGCAGAAATGTTTTCAAGTAGGAAATAAATGGAAATAATGAAATATGCCTCCAGGTTTTTTAATGGGTTTAAGTAATATAATTATATATGTGCTAAATGTTAACACTATTATCTTACCCTAAGATCCATTTTTCTCCATGGCTCCTTGTTCGGGTTCAGCTCATAAATGTCATTCCTTCTGACAGCCTCAATATAAGCTTCATGACCCTGTCGAAAATATATAACCTACAAAAAGGATACATTGAAAAGTAACAAATAAAAACTTAAGAGTAACATTAATGTTTTATGTTCCATATCCATATTTTTAAATTTTATTACTCTCACCTCATCGCCCATTTGTGGAACAAATGGAGATTTTCGAAGTGTGGTGTCAGTTATCCAAACTGGAGGATGAAATTCATATAAATCTTCCGTATTTGGGAGCTCTGCCGGAGACATTCTCCGCAAATTCTGCCAAGGGGAAGAAAACAGAGCTTGGTAAAAGAAAAAGGAGCAGCATGCACTCTTTGATTGAAAAATAAAAGAAATGTCACCATTCAGAATGACTACTTACTTCATGTCACCTAATAATTAGTTTTTAAACATCATGCATATTGGTTCCTGAACACACACAGGAACATAGCACTAGTTTGCATTCTAGATCTACCTGGCACTTTCCTAGAATCTCTTCATTTTAACGTTCTTCATAACATTGTATATCCCAGTGGTCGGCAAACTGTGGCTCACGAGCCACATGCGGCTCTTTGGCCCCTTGAGTGTGGCCACTAAGTTTCAATCGCACTGTACGTGCGCGCCCGCACGTATTTTGTGGAAGAGCCACACTCAAGGGGCCACAGTTTGCCGACCACTGGTATATCCTATGCAAGGGGGCTAATTTCCATCCTAAATCCTCTTCACTACAAAGCCTGCTCTGCTTGAGACACCAGTATGAATTTCACCACAGACTAATCACCAAAAGCAATCGCCTGTGGTTTTAAGACTGGCAATTTTAAAATATGACCACAAATTCTTTGATCCTCGTACTCTCCAAAGTATCCTCCGTTTGAGTATGAGCTCACCTGGCTTCTAACAAACAAAATAAAGCCTAGTGACAATGTTTGACTTTAAGACTAGTAATAAAAGGCATCAGGGCGTAACCTTTGCTTACGCTTCTGCATCACTGAAGACACTCAAGCAGCCCTATGGAGAGGCTCAGACGGTGGGAACTGAAGTTTCCAGCCAGCTGCCCCATGAACGAGCTTCAAAGATGATCATCTAGTCCCAATCAAGCCTTCAGACAAGGCAACCTCAACCAACATGATGAGGCAACCTCGAGTCCAAACCCCCTAGCTAATCAGCTCCCAAATTCCTAACCCATCAAAACATGATATAATACATGTTTCCTATTTTATGCAGCTAAGTTTCAGGATGACATGTTATAGGGCAACAGATAACCCATACAAAGACATGGCACCTTTAAATATTGAGAGCTACCTGCACAATAAGGGCACATGCACTGTACATATAAGGACAAGGGATATTATAATTAGGAAAAAACTATGAAGATAGAGCATAGCAAATAAAAATGAGAGAAACATAGCAATCACAGGCAACACAAGAGAAAATGCCTTAAAATGCCTTAAAGTATATTTCCAGTATTGAAATTAATAGGAAAAAAAAGTGTTAGTTTTGGATCCTGAGAGAAACAGAACTCTCCCTTTAAGTTTCAGATTCAGAAAGGCTTAAGTCCCAAGTCCAACCCAGAGCAGATTAGAAAGGGAAGTTTTAATAATAAAATAGCTTTTCCAAAAATAAGTTTGCATTTTACATTTACTTTCAGATGACATAACATTGTCAATAAAAATAAAGGCTTCAATTTTAAAAGGATTTCTAATTTTAAATGTGGACAGAAACACCTCTATAAACTGTACATAAGATGTTATTTCTAAAGACATATTTTTCTTACCTCTTTTTTAGGCTTATTTTCTTTCTTTCTCTTTCGTCTCCTTTTTGGAGGAGATACATTCTCAGTAGACACTTCATCCTCTGAACTACTACAAAACCGAGTAATACGCCGACGAGATGAAGTTCGTAAAGGGGGCTGCAAATTGATGCCTGCATCAGCTGTCCAATCAGAATATCGAGATGAAGAGTCACTAGAAAAGGAACACATTTTAAGTTCTTTGGAACCAGAATCTAGGCCCTCATAGCAAATTATTAATATAACCTTAGAAGGAGAGAGGAGGAAGAGGAAAAGACAGACCCCAGGAAGCTTCAACTTGAACAACCCGTCCTCTCCATCAATGAATACGGAAATGACCAAAGATCATGAGAGAGAGAGAAACCTTCACAGACTCGGGGAATTAGAAAAGAATGTAAGCCTGAGGAAATTTTTTAAGTATAATATAGATGAGACCTCATGGAAGACAACATCTAGAGCCAACTAACAATTCCCCTTCTAAAAAATATAGTTATGAAAACAGTAGAGGTCACACAGAACCATAGGTAGCACGCCCCGCCCAAGTTAGAGCAGACTCTAAAATAGACTAGAAATTTTCATTAGAATGACAAACCATTAGTGAATACACTGAGAAGCCCAAGGAAAGCATAGCCATGCTTCTTGCCAAGAGAGGGACTTTCTTAGATATGACAGAAGATCCAAGAGAGATACCAGTCCTAACTCATCCAGAAGCAAAAGCAGAGTGAAGTCCTAGCCGGTTTGGCTCAGTGGACAGAGTGTCAGCCTGTGGACTGAAGAGTCACGGGTTCGATTCTGGTCAAGTGCACATGCCTGGGTTGCCGGGCTTCATCCCTCATAGGGGGTGTGCAGGAGGCAGCCGATCAATGATTTTCTCTCATCACTGATGTTTCTACCTCTCTCTCCCTCTCCGTTCCTCTCTGAAATCAATAAAGATATATTTAATAATAAGGGGGAAAAAGCAGAGTCAAATGGGCCCTTGATGGTTGCTCAGTGGTTAGTGTGTCAGCCCTAGCACCCAAGGGTTTCGGGTACAATTCCCAGTCAAGGTCATGTATCTGGATTGCAGGTTCTTTCCCCAGCCCGTGTCAGGGCACATGCAAAAGACAACCAATTGATGTTTCTTTCTCTCTCCTCCCGCCTCACTTTCAACTGTATCTAAAAGCAATGGAAAAATATCCTTGGGTAAGGATTTAAAAAAAAAAAAAAAAGAGTCAAACAGGAAACTAGACAGAATACTAGCCAACAGCCTACCACAAGCTTAAGCAAACACATAAAGGCCTCTACTGGAACCATCATTGGCCAACTATTTACCTCTCAGGCTCAATAATGCACACTCACACAAACACACAAAATCTAAAAGCTTTTTATTATAAAAAGAGCTGTTCAAAAAAAATTTAAGAGCATTTGCATGATAAAATTCAAGAAAAGCTGAAGTAAAAGACAATAAATATAGAAATAGAAAGGAAAATGGTGATTGCCAGGGGCTGGGGGTAAAACAGAGAATTGTTGTTTAACAGATATACGTTTTACAAGATGAAAGAGTTCTGGAGATTGGTTGCACAACACTGTGAATGTACTTAACACTACTGAACTGTAGTTAAAAATGGTAAATTTTGTGTTAGGTAAATTTTGCCAGAAATTTTAAAAAATTGTTTTTAAGAGTAGACAAGTGTTCTAAAAATCACTCCAGCTTTTCTTAATCATCTATAATAATAAAAGCATAATATGCTAATTAGACCAGACAGCCGAACAGCAGAACTGTCAGAAGACCTTCTGAATAAACGATGCCACAAAGCCAGGGCTGCAAGGGCACAGCCCCTTGCACAAATTTTGTGCATCGGGCCTCTAGTAATGAAATAAAAGAAGACAAGAAAGGAAGCAGGCAGTATAGTATGGTGTTCTGGACAAGCACACTATAAGTAGAAACAAAAATAAGATTTGAATCATATTTAGAAGGAAATTTTCTGGACTTGCGATGGGTACATTTTGAAGAGAAAATTATGTCCAGGTTATAGCTTAAAGTATCTGTCAAGACAAAGGTGACATTTACCAAGATGAGGAACAGATGTTAACATTGAAATCTGGATAACAAAACTAAACAAAACATAATGAATTTAATAATGGGGTTGTTTTTTGTTATTTAATCCTCCCCTGAGGACATATTTCTATAGATTTGGGAGAGAGAGATGGGTGGGGGGGAGAAACATCAATGAGAAAGAGAAACTGATCTGTTGCCTCCCACACACATCCCAACCAAGGACTGAACCTGCAACCTAGGTATGTGCTCTGACTAAGAACCAAACTGTAACCTTTTTTGGTTTGGTTGGAACAATACTCCAACCAACTGACCCACCCAGCCAGGGCTGTACTAATGCAGCCCAAGACTAACTAGATGTTTTCCATAAACGTGTTTTACACTCCTAGCTCAAATATTTATAGTCAAATAAAAATGCCTTAAGTATTTTCCACAGCAACAGCTGTTAATCCAGTTTTCTTCTCCTTTTACATGTATTAAGAACTCAATGTTAACTGTTCCATAGTTGCAAGCTCTTGCATCCTGAATGCCATTCAAATACAGTTCTATCACTAAAACGCTTTAAAGATCAAAAACAAAATCAGATACCTTGAACTTTCACTATCACTTTCACTTCTTCTATCACTTTTCCATTCTTCTTCTTCAGAAGAACAAGACGCTTCACTTTGATCACAGGAAGTCTGATTCACGGGGGGAAATAAAATAAAAACCTTGATCTCTGAGTGAAGTTAATGGAAAGTTGTGTAAATATTCTCAGTGTTTTGGACTTAAAGCACTGTAATAGGTATGAACTGGTATCTCACCAGTTTCACTTCCAATTCCTTAATGCCATATTTGCCATCTGAATACTTTTTTTGATGGTCTGTCTGTTAGATCTTATGCCAATTTTTAAATTGAGTTTCCTCATTGATGAGTTTTAACTCGTGGTATATTTTGAATGCAAGTCTTTTATCAGATATGAGTTTTACAGATATTTTCTCCAATTTTGTGGTTTATCGTTTCATTCTCTGTGCATCATTTTTGTTAAAACTCAAAATGTGAAATTTCATTTTAACCTCTACAGAATACTGTATTTTCACATATTTCAGGGTAGAGTCAAAGTGAGACATTGGACATTTATTTAAGATTATTTTATATATTTTAAAGTTACAAACTCACATGTCTTATAGAGCTTGAAGACTCATTTCCAGAAGACAACTCAATCTGTCCAACATTTCTTCTGCCATAATTTGGATATTTACATCTACGTGTCCTCTGCCTAAACGGTGACATCAAAACTACCGAATCTGACTGAAACATAAAAGAAACATAGAGATGAAAATCAATATCTGAATAAATACAATTTCAACAAAATAGGCTTTCTATCAAATTCTCAAAAATATTTCAGGCAGATAATAATAGTTGAAATATAAAAGAAAATATTCCTAAAAAAAATATATATATATATATATTTTTTTTTAATTATTTTTATTTTGGCCATCTGCTATTAAATCAACCTTGGTATTTTTACTTTTAGATACTTGGAAGAGAAAAAAAAAAAGATACTTGGAAGACATGGCTAAATTAGGCACATTAGATCAGCCTTTTCCAAATAAAACAAGTCAATTGACCATGAATGAAATAACCCAAAAAGTTTATCACTTTAAAAATGTGTATTTTATAAGTGAGAAGATTTAAACCCTGGACATAACTAGGATTAATATTTGCGAATTATTTCAGATAATCCTTTGTATGCACATAATGACACATTTCTTAAATTTTTGGATGATTTGTTGTCAGCACTTTTCAATTCTGCTTAAATTTTTAAAATATATTTTTATCAAAACAAAAATATTTTCAAAAATCAGCCAAATAATGGCCCTGGCCAGTTTGCTCCATTGGTAAGGGTGTGGTCCCTATAGGCCAAGGTCCAATCCCCAGTCAGGGTACGTACAAGAGGCAACCAATGAAGACATAAGTGGAACAACAAGTGGATGTCTCTCTCTCTCATCCATTAATAAAAAAAGATTTTAAATAGGCCAAATAAAACAGATTGTATTTTTTTAATATTTTTTAATCATCACTTAAGGGCATGCTTAGAGGGAGGAAGGGCAGGAGGGAGAAAGACATCAATGTGAGAGAGAAACAAGAATCAGTTCCCTTTGGGTACCTGCTCAGCCAAGAATGGAAGAAACCGGCAACCCAGGTATGTGCCCAACTGGAATAGAATTGACCACCTTTCGATACACAGGACCAGCTCGATCAGGGCTACATTGTATTTTAAGGGGATAGGCTGAGGGTAGGGGAGAGGGTGGGGGAGTGGAGGTGATGCTGGTGGGCAAGGGAGAGGGGCAAGCTATATTCCTCAAACACCAAAGTCATATGTGAAATCACATAATAAAAGCATATATTCCTTGAATTAATATACAAATAAATTTGCATCTAATTCCTTCTGTTTGATAATCAAGTGTGTATTATCACTTCAACATATCATTGGCTGATTTTAAAATGAATTACATTTTCCTTAATTTGTCAGTACTATTTTTTGTTAAAGCAAAAACTCGTATTGAGTTTCATAACTGATAATGTCAAACACTGTTGGGTCAAATCTACCACTCAGAAAAACAAGTAATCTGTAAAAAAAAAAAAAAAATTTTTTTAATCAGTTTGAGCTCTGGCTGGTGTGGCTCAATTAGTTGAGGGTCATCTGGCTCCAAATGGCTAATGGTTCAATTCCTGGGCAGGGCACATACCCGGGATGCAGGCTCAATCCTGGTAGGGGGCGTGCATGAGGCAGGCAATCAATGGTTCTGCTCTCACATTGATGTTTCTCTCCCTCTCCTTACCTCTCTCTTAAAAAATTTAATAAAATCATTTTTTTAAATCAGCTGAAGGGCATTATATACCTAACAAGGCTATGAAGAACTAGACAGTAAGCCCATCCTTATGATCAATTCTGGGAAAATCCTGCAAACACTCAATCATTTTCACCAGTTTTGTAGCACTAGTCTTACATTTTGTGTATCTTCCATGAACTCAATGTTAATGCTATTCATATAATGTTCAAGAAACTCCAAATAAAGAAACTAAATACTCAGACAGTTGTTCTCAAACTTCTGGCCCTTTAAATACAGTTCCTCATGTTGTGACCCAACCATAAAATTATTTTCGTTGCTACTTCATAACTGTTATGTTGCTATTGTTATGAATCGTAATGTAAATATCTGATATGCAGGATGGTCTTAGGCGACCCCTGTGAAAGGGTCGTTCGACCACCAAAGGGGTCGCGACCCACAGGTTGAGAACCGCTGTACTAAGGAATAAGATTTTCTTGAGTTTGGAGGGTCACAAACCATTGTAACATCTAAAATTTTTATAAATGCATGATTTGGATAAACTTCAGAAATAGTTTTAGAAGTAAGACGGTTGGTTCCCTGTGGAAGAAAAGAGAGTGTAGTGATTGGGGATGGACACAAAATGTTTTTGATGGGTTGGTAATGTTCTAGTTCTTGGTCTGAGTGGTCATTAGACAATATTCTTCTGGAATCTATTAACAGTATTAAGCATGAGGCTGCTTTCCTCAAGTTTTTACACTATTCCTCTTTCCTAACAGCTGTACAGCCTTATGTCTACTATTTTAAATCCCAAATAGAAGCCTTTAAGCAAAATATATTATGCTATTTCAAGTGAAAATTACTAATATTCTCAGTGATCAAAAGAAAACAAATTTTAGTTCAATTTCTAATTTGCTTATTCCTAAGAAAAATAGAATTTAGGTTACCTTTTGTGAGAACTGAAGAGTCTTCTTTTTTCTTCCAATTACATAAAGATTTCTTTCCTCTTCACCTTTCTCTATTCTAAAGTCTTCCAACTTCCTACAAATTTGATTATCCAGTTATATTAGTTAGTGAACTGATGAGTAAGTAGAGGATATTAACAGGAAAAAATCATCATCATGATTCTAGAAATCATAAGCTTACATACTTTTTAAGTTGACACAAGAAATTATCTAAGGTTATAGCAAAACTTAAGTCAAACTATACTTTATGTTAGAAATTTAATATGGTATAAATAAAATCTCAGCAGCAGCTAGGAAATCCTAACTTTCATATTTTACAAAGAAATGGTCATTTGTTTGTATTCTGATTGGCCCTATTAGGACCAATTCAAACAGGATCTCTCAAATTAGTAACTCAAAGTGTCCCTATAATTTTCCAAGATTAAAATTCCTTTCTCTAAAGAAAAAATAGGAGCAGAATCCTCCTCCAAACCATTTAAAATGTTTTTTAATTTGTAGAAAAACAGAATAGAATGTTACTACTTCTTCTAATCACCTATTTTTTACTTCCATGATACAAAAGAAGCATTATAGTGTTACTGTGACCACCTTCCAAGCAAGGGGCCTTCACCGTGAGGACGGTACTGACCATGGTTTTCCTTCTCCACAGTTAGAGAGAACAAGTGACTGTCCTTTCTCCAAGGTGAATATTACTGAGAACACACGGCTTTGTTTTTGTTTACTTTATAACCCCACCAGAAAAGGTTCAAAACTGACATCATGGCCATGTTCCAAGACATAATTGGGCACTCAAATGAGTGTAAGCACAAATTCAGTGAGGACAAAAACACATTTCTAAGAAAATTACTTTCTCAAGGTTCAACTGTAGCCCATGCTCAAAGTACAGTGGAACTTTATTTTATCCACAGGGGAATTCTATATTAGACTCAACCCTTTACAAGTTAATTTCACCACTTTTATATGTATTTAAGGAATTATATGAGGTTTTTCACTTGCAGCCAAATTAAATTCCTATCCCATATGTTTTTACAAACACTGCATACATTTCATTCTCAATCAATAATAAAACAAAGGCACACTCTAGGTTTCAAAAATATTATGTTTGGGTGCATTCCATGCCTCATCAATCACTAATATCACTCAGCTGACAAAAGTGATATTATAAAAGGTTTTAGAATGAATAGAATTCTACTATTATTGGATAAAGACAAACAAATGTCTGACATCTAGCCCCAAATAAATTCCTCTGCTTGGAAGCAACACTGTGTGCTCATCTTTCTGCATGGCAGGGTTGTTTCCCTTCTCACATTTTTGTCTATTACTAGTGGCCCAGTGCACGAAATTCGTGCAGGGTGGGGGGGAAGTGTGTCCCTCAGCCCGGCCTGCACCCTCTCCAATCTGGGATCCCTCTCACAATCCGGGACTGCTGGCTCCAAATCGCTCACCTGCCTGCCTGCTTGATTACCCCAACCACTCTGCCTGCTGGCCTGCTTGCCCCCAACTGCCCCCCCATGCCGGCCTGCTCTCCTCCAACTGCCTCCCTGCCACCAGCCTGATCACCCACAACTGCCCCACCACCACCAGCCTGATCACCCACAACTGCCGACCCATCCTGGCCTGATCACCCACAACTGCCCTCCCCTCTTGGTCCCTAACCGCCTCTACCTCAGCCCCGCCACCATGGCTTTGTCCAGAAGAATGTCCAGAAGGTCTCCTGGAAGGTCTCCCAGTCTAATTAGCATATTACCCTTCTTTTATTAGTATAGACGAGAGGCCTGGTGCACAAATTCGTGCACGGGTGGGCTCTGGGTGGCCAGGGCCAATCAGGCCGGGCTGGCTGGCTCCAACCCCTGGTCAAACTCCTGGTCGAAATCCCAATAGAACTCCCGGTTGAGGGGACAATTTGCATATTAGCCTTTTATTATATAGTATACAGGCCTGGTGCACGGATGGGAGCCGGCTGGTTTGCCCTGAAGGGTGTCCCGGATCAGGGTGGGGGTTCCCTTGGGGGGTGGGGCGGCCTGGGCAAGGGGCCTGTGGTGGTTTTCAGGCCAGCCACACCCTTCAGGGTGGGGGTCCGTGCTGGGGTGGTGTGGCCAGCCTGGGTGAGGGGCTGATGGCTTTTTGTAGGCTGGCCACACCCCCCGGCAGGGGACCCTCACCCCATGGGGGCGTGGCCAGCCTGGGTTATGGGCTAAGGGCCATCTTCAGGCCCCTCCCTCGGCAGCCCGGCCGAGGCTACCCAAGCCTCCCACCCACTCTGGCTGGCTCCATGGCCACCACCATCTTTGTCCTGTTAATTTGAATATTCTCTCCTGATTGGCTGTGGGGTGTCGTGGAGGTATGGTCTATTTACATATTGTCTATTATTCGTGTAGAGATCTTAATCAGTGGTTCCCAACCTTTTTTTGGCCATGCCCCACCTAAGTACCTCTGAAATCCTAATGCCCTCCCTGTGACACGTAATTCTTTTTTTTTTTTTTTTTTTTTTTTTTAATATATTTTATTGATTTTTTGCAGAGAGGAAGGGAGAGAAATAGAGAGTTAGAACCACCGATGAGAGAGAAACATCAATCAGCTGCGTCCTGCACATCTCCTACTGGGGATTGTGCCTGCAACCCAGGTACATGCCCTTGACCGGAATCAAACCTGGGACCTTTCAGTGCACAGGCTGACGCTCTATCCACTGAGCCAAACCGGTTTCGGCGACACGTAATTCTTATTATTCAAAAAGTGAACTCCTATTCACGTGGAGAAGCCTAAAAGGCCATTAACTTGTTCTAAACAAGCTTCCAAAGAACATAGCATCCATGAAAGAGAAAAATAAAAGAACGAAAGGATAGTTGAGTACTGAGGAAGAAATCACTAAGAAATTATTAAAAAAATAATAATATGAAGTGATATGAAAAAATAGCAAATAAAGTTTCAAAACATATGATAACTGAAATGCATAAATATGTCACAATATATAGTTATATACTGTACTAGAGGCCCAGTGCACAAATTCATGCATGGTGGGGGTCCCTCGGCCTGGCCAGCGATTGGGGCCAATCAGGACCATCTCACCCAGTCCCAATTGGGGCCGGCCAGCCGGGGGGAGGGACCGGGGAAGATTGGCTGTGGGAGTGCACTGACCACCAGGGGGAAGCGCCTGCATTGAGCGTCTGCACCCTGGTAGTCAGTGGGTGTCATAGCGACCGGTCGACTGGTCATAACGGTCACTTAGGCTTTTATATATAGAGATATGCAGCCCCTGGGACCATAAGAAATGCAAAAAATTCACTGTTAAAAACTCATTCTTGAATTACCCCCCTGTGGGGCATGTGACCCATGTTGGGAACCACTGATCTAAATTTTACACAGTAGATATATACTACTTTTATAGGCAAAACCCAAATTTTTAATTTCTCTTGATCCTTATCAAATGACACTCTAATATTATGTAACATTTGCCACTATAAGGATTGTTGTCAAGGGCACTGACCACTATTCTATCACTCAGCATCTCCTTCATAAACTCTCATGTGTAAGCTAGAATACAGTCCTAGAAAGAGCAACACTCTTCTTTGAAAAAATTATTTTGTGGCAGACAGCTAATTGACTCTCAAAATCCATTCCCCTTTCTTCCTTAGAAACAGAATCTCAACTTTTACCTAGACTCTTTGTTGCTCTAAATGAAAACTATTACTGAGTCTCTTCTGTAGCTTAGTATGGCCATATGATGACATTCTGGTCAATGTATAAGCAGACATGTCATGTGGAGTCATTAAGGCTGCTTACTGACATACAGGAATGTCCATTTTACCGTCTGCCTCTCTTCCTTCTTCTGGCCTAAATCTCAGCCTCCATCACAGAGGCAGATATGGGATGGCCAGAATATAAAGACCAGCTCTCTTGAACTTTGAGTTGACCTTAAGATTAAAACCCGTACTCTGAGATGGAGATCAGAAACAGAGGAACCTGAGATCCTGATTAACTAGAACCATGTATTCCAGCTTAAGCTATTTCCAGTCTTCCTTATGTTGAGAACAAATGCTTATTTAATGTTCTGCAGGTCTTTCACTCCTGATACCCTTGCTTCCCTTGGTTTTGACAACAAAAAATATCCCAAAATGACACTTTCAGATCTGATGATCATACAACTCAGACACAACTTTAAGGCTTAATTATAGCATTCTACATACACGATGGTGATTTTCTGTATTTCTCATGCCAATTCCAGATTTTGCTTTTCACTACTCTATTGTATACTTTAAATATTCTCAAGTTCACTGTATAATTTTAAGTAGTATCCAATATTATTCCACCAATCACTGAAATGCTTCTTGCTAAACACATGAAGGAAACACTTTTGCAAAATTATCTTCAAGATATTTGTTATTTGGAGACACAAACATGACAAAATACTAAAAGATTTTAGATACTAATGAGAACAGTATTTGCTGCCTCCATTTCAAAAACTCAGTAGCAAGGAAGACCTTACTGCCCAGAATCTAATTATGAAATATCACTTCCCACGAAGAGAAAATGGAGCTGCTTAAGAGAAAAGACTAAGCCCAGGTCTAGCTCAAGAAACTCACAAGATAAACCTATAACCCTTTGCCATGCCTAACAGCAAGGACACAATGAAAGTCGACTACAATCATTTCAAAAGGACTCTCAGGAGCCAAATTGAAGAGGCCCCTCTGGTCAAAGACAGGACAATGTAAATGGCAATAAGGGATTTAGAGCCGAAACTGGTTTGGCTCAGTGGATAGAGCGTCAGCCTGCGGACTGAAAGGTCCCAGGTTCGATTCCGGTCAAGGGCATGTACCTGGGTTGCGGGCACATCCCCAGTGGGGGATGTGCAGGAGGCGGCTGATCGATGTTTCTCTCTCATCGATGTTTCTAACTCTCTATCTCTCTCCCTTCCTCTCTGTAAAAAATCAATAAAATATATTTTTTAAAAAAAAGGGATTTAGAAATAAGCTGAATCACAGCAGCTTGATTAACACAGTGACAAACACACACATTGGGTCATTACTGGAAGATAACAGGGAATAAATCTTTATTTTGAAGACAAGTAATCGAGCATCTATCCTGTCTTTTATATACAAACTTTACTACTGGATAACCAGTAGATTTGAGCAAATTCTTTCTTAGAAGTTATCCAAAGGAATAGATGAAGACTTCATAGAGCTGAATTATCACTACTTCATAAGCCCTAATGAATTAATGAATCTAGGCAGTTAGCATAAATGCCTGCTAACATCACATATGTGTGTGTGTGCGCGCGCGAGCATTGTGAACCTCCTGACAAAAATTATTACCACTAATGAAATGTCTTACAAAAGAACTAAAAACATTTATGACATCTGAGACAATTAAAATTTAAATACTGACTATTTACTTCTACTGAAGAACTGTTTGTTGTTTTTAAGATAATGATGGCATATAGCAGTGATGGCAAACCTTTTGAGCTCGGCGTGTCAGCACTGTGAAAAACCCTAACTTAACTCTGGTGCCGTGTCACATATAGAAATTTTTTGATATTTCCAACCATAATAAAACAAAGATGTATATTTTTGATGTTTATTTTATATAGTTAAATGCCATTTAACAAAGAAAAATCAACCAAAAAAATGAGTTCAGGTGTCACCTGACACGTGTGTCATAGGTTTGCCATCACTGGCATATAGTTATATTTTAAGACAATTTCTTATCGTTTAGAAATACATACTACATGCTTTCAACAAAATGTTTTAAGATTGCAAAATAATGATGAAGAAAGTGGGTATTTGTGTAGATGAAATAAGACTGGCTATAAAAAAATTTTACCATAGTAAAGAGAGAACAAGTCTGACATTTTCTTACCACAACTAAAATAGACTCCAACCCATTACTAAAATGTATTTATATGATTATTTGCATCACTAATGGATTAAGGTATGCAAATAACCACATAGATATATTTTCATAGATAAAAACAGTATTAATAGATATCCTAAAACAAACCTAAATATGCCTAGTGGTACCTCTGGTACAACCACTCTCCGTTTCCACGCCTGCAGGTCCCGCTCTGTAGCAATCTGACTACGGGGAGCATTCTGATGCATCTGGCGAACACCTTCAACTTGTCCACTACGACGCAGACCAATATTTGGAGGGGACTGGATGTCTAAGCTTAGTCTTCTAAAACCTAGGGGGAAATTGTCAAGAAATGATTCCAGAACAAAGTTCAATCTATATGTATTTAACACATAAGCATTCCTTCTGAGGTAGAAACCAAAAATAAAGATCTACTAAAGAAAACTCTGGAAAAAAGAATCCTCGTATGACTGAGATCAAAATGTAGACTATAGAACAAACACTATCAATCTCAATTTCCACTTTTACTAGACTTTCTGCAATTTTTTAATGTACAGGCATTTCTATTATAATATTATATTTGCATTCCTAAAAACCTTTTCTTCTTCAAAACCACACACTAAAAACACATCTTTTTGGAAAAATAAGCATTGAAGACAGACTCCTCAAACTGCAGTGGCTTTGTAACAAGAGCTCTAACAACATTAACTGCAACCTCAAAGACAATCTGAGCCATTCAGGTAGGCAGCTGCCAGAGTGGGTGTTAAAAATTCACAAATCTGCAAAGTGGGAAAATGCTGTCAGCACTTGAATTGGAGCTGTGTGAGTGGTCACAGGGCAATACAGATAACAGTGAGCTCTGAGCCTGTGCAGAGCTGATAAGATGGGCACAGGAGGCAAGACAACCTTCCACGAGCTGGAAGTCACAGAGGATGGAGACCTGTCGGAGGGAGGAGGGAGGAGGGAGTCCCAGGCAAAGTGCTGGTTTTCTTAAAACAGAGTGAAGAGGTTCCTCCTACTAATGCAACAGAGAAACTGGGGGCTATGCCTTTCCTGAGGGAGGCTACAAATTCTATTCCAGCTCCACCTGCTCTTCGGGCCGAGGGTAAAAGCCACACGAGTAAGCACAACTTCTGCATTCTCCTACACACGGCATCTGTTTACCTATGACATGAACCACTTTGCAAGAAATTGGTTCACCCACTAAAAATGGAATTAAACATTTATATTAAAATGTACTGATGCTTAAACATTTTTTGAATTGAAAAGTAAAAATAAACTCTAAATTAACTGCCCAAGTCATAGTATTAGCTCTCCAACAATCTGAACAAAACACTGGCACAAGTCTTTATCACAATACTTGTAATGGCAAGAATGAGAAATAACTTAAATGGCCATAAAATGATTAATCACTGGTTATTCGCCCTAACCGGTTTGGCTCAGTGGATAGAGCGATGGCCTGCGGACTGAAGGGTCCCAGGTTTGATTCCGGTCAAGGGCATGTACCTTGGTTGCCGGCACATCCCCAGTAGGGGGCGTGCAAGAGGCAGCTGATCGATGTTTCTCTCTCATGGATGTTTCTAACTCTATCCCTCTCCCTTCCTCTCTGTAGAAAACCAGTAAAATATATTTTTAAAAAAAGACTGGTTATTTCACACAATGGAACACATGAAGCTATAAAAAAATGAAGAGTTCTGTGCATGGATATGGAGTGATTTCTAGAATACACTGTTAAGGAAAAAAGATGCAGAAGAACACACATGTATCTGTGCCTCTTGCTCTAATGCACTAAGAAGAACATAGCACCACCCATATAGTATTCCAGCCTAAAATCTTTCCTGAATCCAATCATATGATAGTCAGACAAATTCAAACTGAATGCAATTCTATAAAACAGGCCTGAACTAAAGTAGTGCCATGAGGAATCTGTTCCATATTAAGAGACATAAGAATTAAGTGATTCTCTCTCATCATTGATGTTTCTCTCTCTCACTCCTTTCCTCTCTGAAATCAAAATATACTTATTTAAAAAGACTGTACATTAGATAGTAGTATTGTGATCAACAAAGTTTGTTGACTGTGGTCATTGTATAATGATTACATAAACAAATATTCCTGTTCTTGGAATATATAGGAAGAAACATTAAACAATAAAGTGTCACAATTTCTCCAACTTACTCTAAAGCAGTTTTGAAAATACATGAGAGAGAAAGAGATAGGCACTGATTGTGAATGTACACAAAAAGAGATAAAGTGAATGTAGCAAAATGATAAAATCTAGGTGAACGCCCTAGCCAGTTTTGCTCAATGGACAGAGCCTCAGCCTGCGGACCAAAGGGTCCCGGATTCAATTCTGGTCAAGGGCATGTACCTCCGTTGCAGGCTCCTCCCCGGCCCAGGCCCTGGTCAGGGCTCCTGCAGGAGGCAACCAATCAGTGTGTTTCTCTCACATCGATATTTCTCTCTGTCTCTCCCTCTCTCTAAAAATCAATGGGAAAATATCTTCAGATGAGGATTACAAAAAAGAAAAAGCTAGGTGAAAGCTATATGGGTATTCATAGTAGTATGCCTGAAACTTTACTACAGGATTAATTTTTCAAAATAAAACACTGGAAGATATAAAGCCTTATGCTATAAATTTCAGAGAAATAAACCTTAATTCCTCATATAAGTATTTATTAGAGTCCTAGTCCACAAATAGCATGACATCCCCAAAAGTTTTAAATAAATCATGGAATTTGCAAATCACCTTGGGCTAGAAACAAAGAGGACACTAAATGAAGATCATGAGCTGAAACTGTGGCAGCCTGACAAGTTGTGCAAATCAGTAATCTAAGGGCCTGGGTGTAATGGCCACATGGGAGATAACGCCTTGGACCTATGTCAGATACACGGCTGTAAACGAGAAACAGATCCCCCAAATTCTCCCCCCCCAAAAAAACACCCAGTGGTCCAAAAACTACAAAGATGGTAAAGACAAAATATAAATTGATCCTAGCAGAATCTGCATATCCCAATGCCATCTGTCACCCAAGATTATCCTGTGTGCCGTGAATGTCCTTGGGGTAGCCTGATTTTTATATCATGTAGTTCAGCACTGAGGACAGCACTGAATAATAGAGATAAGAAATAAAGTACACTTGGCAAATATATTTAAAGTTTCCTTCTACAAACAAAAGAATAAATTCCTTTACTAGCTAAAAATTAATTTGTTCAAAGTAGATTTCTGTGAAATTATTTATTTTACCATTACAAAATAAAAATTAGCCCTGGATGAGTGGTTCAGTTGGCCGGAGAATCGCCCATAACGACGAAAGGTTGTAGGTTCAATTCCTGGTCAGGCACAAGCCCAGATTTCGGGTTCAATTCCCAGTTAGGGCACGTGTGTGAGGCAACTGATCAATGTTTCTCTCTCACACATTAATGTTCCTCTCTCTCTCTCTCTCTCTCTCTCTCTCTCTCTCAAATCTATCAAATCAATTTTTAAAACAACATATCCTCGGGTGAGGATTAAAATACATTTATTAATTAAAATTATAAGAGTCTACGTAAGAAAAAAAGGAGCAAATTCTCCAAGTAGAAACATTGTTAAGAAAAAAAAGGTTTTGTTAGCAAATCAACTTTCTATCTAATAAAGCTACCTCCAGATTAATACTTAAATTGTAAAAATACCATGCTAACTTCAAGTTTTTCACATAACATGTACCTGACAATGACTTCATTTATGCTTCACTTTCAATCAGTCATATTAAGGCAAAATATATCTCATGTATTTATTACCTCTTCGTGGTGTTTCTTCCCCATTTGGAAGTACATTTGGAATATTATCCTGACCAGCTCCCATCCTCTCATCTTGCTGCTGTTGCAACTGTCTTATCATTCCATCAAGAACACTGGGCTCTGGGCTTCCTTCACCATCATTAGTCTGTAGGCTTATAATTTGTTCGATTACCTCTCCATCACCTGCAAATTCAATTAGTCAACAAAATCATAATTTATACAGATGGGGGGGATGTTCAGTAGGCTACAATTAAAATTACATTAGCGCCCTGGCCGGTTTGCTCAGTGGATAGAGCATCGGCCTGTGGACTGAAGGCTCCTGGGTTCGATTCCGGTCAAGGGCACATGCCCAGGTTGTGGGCTCAGTCCCCAGTGGGGGGTATGCAGGAGGCAGTCAATCAATGGTTCTCTCTCATCACTGATGTTTCTATCTCTTTCCCTCTCCCTTCCTCTCTGAAATCAATCAATAAAAATATATTTTAAAAAAATTACATTAGCAATTGTCAGAATTCATTTTTAAAAAGTAAAGATATATTCATAATTAAGTCAAAAAAAGATTCAAACCCACAAGATCTTTCTTTAGAGAGTATAAGTGCCACAAAAACCTCAGCAGAGCCTTTGAATTCCCAGCAAGTGAGCACCTGGAAACACATTTCACTAAAAGCTACATTCTGCTAGTTCACACTAACACCCCTCATTTATACAGGATGTATCATTAAAATCCTTTTGTGCAAGATCTCTCACTACAACAGAGCAACAATGTGTGGCTTCTGATGTAGAGAAATCAGTGGCATTTCTTCTCTACTGTTTTAAAATATAAAAAAGGAGGAATAGCACCTTTTTGACCTTCAGTAAACTACTACAACTCTAGCTCTCGCCCTGTCCCAAGTGTCCTGAGAGCGCACATGCAGTTAAGGGAGATAGCTACACATGCCTCTCCAACTAAGCTTAAGTTTTTCTCTCTCAGATATGCTTTCAGCATAGCCAGTATCCATAATTCTTACTTCAAGTACAAAATCAGATTTTCTTTAAAGGTGTCTTTGCTTCCTTATTTTTCAAATAATACATTTCAGCCCTGGCCAGTGTGGCTCAGTGGTGGAGTGTCAGCCTGTGCACTGAAGGGTCTCATGTTCGATTCCTGGTCAAGAGCACGTACCTGGGTTGCAGGTTTGTTCGCTGGCCCCAGTGCAGGCCTGTGGGGAAGGCAACCAATCAATGTGTCTCTCTCATATCGATGTTACTCTCTCCCGCCCCCTTTTCTCTCTCTCCCACCCTCCCTCCATTCCTCTCCCCCTTTCACTCTCTCTGAAAAATCAGTGGAAAAAATATCCTCAGTGAGGATTAACAACAAAAAATAATACATTTTCAGAGATATTTAATAGATTCAGAGTCAGTGTTAATAAATAAAAAGTATCAGATGGTTGTGGGGGGTTGGAAATTTATCCAAACATTAATATTTTTGAGCAAACAATTCCTTAGATAGTCCCCACCATAAGATTCATCTTAATTACAGAGAAAAATAACTTTTTAGTGGCAAAACCTGGCAGCTACCACCTTAACTGAGTGTGCAAAGACACTCCAATGGGCAAAACACAATAAGCATCCTGACAGGATGCTCCAGGAAGGCTACGACATTGTTTATATTGTATTCTATCAAAAATATATAACCAGGCCCTGGCCGGTTTGGCTCAGTGGACAGAGCATCGACCTATGGACCTAAGGGTTTCGGGTTCAATTCTGGTCAAGGGCACGTACCTCTGCTGCAGGCTCCTCCCCAGCCCTGGCCCTGGTGGCGGCATGTGCAGTAGGCAACCAATCGATGTGTTTCTCTCACATCGATGTTTCTATCTGTCTTTCCCTCTCTCCTCCACTCTCTCTAAAAGATCAATGGAAAAATATCCTCAGGTGAGGATTAACCAAAAATAATAATAATAATAATAAATACACAACCAGAACTTAATCAATAACAACTACATTTAATGTGAAGTCCCCAAATTGAAATCTACATCAGAGAACAAAAAAAGCTGTAACAGGCATTAAAGTAACAGACAAAAGTTGATTTTGATTATTGTTTATGATTACACAAGAGAATATCTTTGTTCTTAGAAAATACATATTAAAGTATTTCTGGGTAAATGAACATGAGATCCAGAACTTAAGCCTCAAATGGTTCAAAACAATAATATATATCTAGAGACAAATAATAAACATTACATTAAAGAGGGCTTTGCACTTACTTGTTGCCACATAGCCGAGCTGTGGAACCAGATGCTCATCTGCAGAATTTTCTCGGCCTGGTACTAATCTCTGATACTTAGTTGGATGAGGATTTCCATCTACATCTACCAAGAATGGTGGAGGCATAAGGTGCGGAGCCTGCTGAGTTTGCTCATCTAAGACATAATTATTAGAATCTCTAATCAATGGTCGATAGTCAGTATGGAAGAACATCTGTTCAGGAATCTAGAAAAGGGAAGTTTAAACAAAAAAAAAGTAGAAAAAGTAAGTTTACAGACTGACATTTTGAAATTTATACATGTTAAAAGAAAACAAATACTAAGCAGTTAATTATAATGAGAAAAAAACAATGAAATTAACACCCTATTTTCAAAATATCCTTCAGAACTACTTAATTTGCATGCTATGAGAAAATACTTAAAATGACCTTTTCGTATGGCTTGCTGCATCCGAAACCAAATATCAGAAGGTGCCCATGAGAGTCTGTACAGGCAAAATGCTGCCCATCCTGTGAAAACTTACAGTCAAACACAGCTCCATGCCCTTGTCCTTCAATCTAGGAAACACAGAGGAAAAAAGCCTCATTCATTAGTTGAATAAAAGTTTGGCCCATGCTAACAAAGTTATGACCAAGTTTATGCAAGTGCTTTTGCTGTATTAACTGTTTTTGTGTTGATAGCTTGCTATGATATATCACTTCTACAAAAAATATTTTAAGACAAATTTTTCATTCAGCATGTCAATTTTTATTTTCAGGAAATAAATTAACTTTTTAAAAAAAATTTATTTGAGAGAGAGGAAGGAAGGGGGAAGGGGCGGGGGGGAAGAGAGGGAGCGAGGGAGGAAAAGAGAGAGAAACAGATGCAAGAACATCAACTGGTTGCCTCCCACAAGCGTCCCAACCTGGGATCCAACCCTAAACTTGGGTATGTGCCCTGACTAGGAATTGATCTGCCACCTTTTGGTGTACAGGACAATGCTCCAACTGAGCCACCAGCTCAAGGCTAAAATTCACTTTGGATACCACTAGCCTGAAAGAAATCTTGAAAGATGTTCTAAGAATTAGTTCTCAAAATGACTGAATAAAGGATCAAAAACCAATCCAAAGTGAAGGTTTTATTTCTGCTATGTGAATGACAAGCACCTTCATAAACTTTTAACTTGAAACAAGAGACTATTGACTAATAATCTATAAGGTAAATAATGAAAGATTAATAAAGTGTGATATTCATTAACTAAAATCAATACTTTACTAGAGTTTAAACTTTCTACTAATATGACTGACTGCCATGCAAAATTTGTAATGCAAGTTGTGTATAATTACCATAATTTTGCCAATTTAAACACAGACAGAGACACATTCACCTATACACACAAAGTTAAATAGATAACTTTTGAAAATCTTTCCCTTGTGTGAAACAGTTATACAAAGAATTTCATGTATGTATGTATGTATGTACGGCTGTCAGATGTTTATGAGGTTTTAAATAGCCTGATTTTTAGAAATATAAACTGCCAAAACATGCAGATCTGTATGTGGCTGAACTTTACAATCTAAGTACTCGAAATAAATGCAAGCATGCATGAAGACACCCTGGACTTCACTTACCATATTAAAATAATGTTTCATCTTGGTGCCTTTTGTAACATCCCATATAAATATGCTGCCATCGTGTCCTGCAGATAACATAATTCTGGAATCAAAAGGATGTGTCTCCAAAACAAACACTTCATCAGCATGTCCCTGTAGTCAACAAAGTCATACAGTTAAAGGAGGAGGGGGTTGCAAGTTATAAGTTTCTAATTAAAAATCCATTTGTCAGTATATAAGGGCTTTAAAAAATGTTCTTAATTACAGTAATTTATATCAGTATATATACAAATTTCTATTTATTTGGTAATATAAATCAAAGAAACCTGTGTATTCATATATTAATTCCATAGCTTGAAAAATAAAATTATAGTTCAAGACATCATGATTTGTTATATTGAACTAGAGTCCTGGTGCATGAATTCGTGCACGGGTGGGGTCCCTCTGGATGGTCTGCAGGGATCACGCAAAACCCGCAGTCCAACTCCACCTGCAGCTCCTACTTGTTGCTCCCGCTCATCCTGGACCCACTTCGGCTCACGCCCAATCAGTCCCAATCAGGAGAGGCTTGCAGCACTCACCAGCCATGAGTCCTGCGGCTGGCGCCCTCCCAAGGGAAGTGGCCTGCGGGATTGGGCTGAAACTAGCTCTCCGACATCCCCCAAGGGGTCCCGAATTGCGAGAGGGCCAAGGCCAGACTGAGGGACCCCACCAGTGCACGATTGGGCCAGGGAGGGACCGAGAGAGGGCTGCAGTGCGTGTCCAGCCCATCTCGTTCAGTCCCTATCATCCGGACCCCAGTAGCAAGCTAACCTACTGGTCGGAGCATCTGCCCCCTGGTGGTCAGTGCACTTCATAGTGAGCAGTTGAGCAGCCTTAGCATATCATTAGCATATTACGCTTTGATTGTTCCATTGTTCTGCTGTTTGGTCTATTTGCATATTACCCTTTAATTATATAGGAGGATAAGAACTACCTACCAACAAGTTATGAAGCAGTTGTCCAGTATAAGAATTCCACACTTTGAGGACATGATCATTCACAGCTGTGACAACAATGCTATCATTCTGATTCCAAGCTATCATTGTTACTTTGGGTTTCATAAACCTTTCCTCTTCGGAAGTTAAGTCCCTAAGGAAAAAATACACAATGTGTAAATTCACTTGGATGGTAGACTATATACAGTGTGTATACAATTCTTTATCTGTACAAAAATAAAGTTCACGTCCTTCCCTTACCAACTCTATAGAGGGTCCAACAGATGTAACCCTTAACAGATTATCTACAAACAGATTAGGGAAAACCCAAAGGAAGAGGGGATGATTCAGAAGCAGTTCAGAGACTGAATGAAGGCAGATTTTCGGGCACTACTGCTATGCATAAGAGCAAAGCTTTTCCTGCTCTCTACCTTTTCTATTTTTCTTTTTTCCTGAACTCAAGCACTAGCAGTAATACTTTCAACTGTTTCTCAGAGATGACAAGAAGCTTTAGAAGACAGCAAGAAGGTGATTCATCTTCATACCCAGTATCTAGAAAAGTGCCTGACAGACAATTTGCTGAACTGTAAACAAGACTGTACTAATCTCTGTATAGTTCCCTATAAACTGTTCCTATGGACCCCGTGGCAAGAACAGTCTTTGATACATAAGTCTGCAATGCACTAAAGCCTTTATGAAAGTGATATGCAAAGTTTCTCTGTAAAATATAGTCAGAAAAACTGACTATATTGTCTCCCTCCACCCACCCCCTACTATAGTGATTTTTTTTAAATTCCAAAAATCGTATCTACAGAAAAGTAAAATTTGTGTATCTGATATGCCTGAGTTGTTTTGGGTTTTTTTTACATTGATTTTAAAGCAGGGATGGGGAACATCCACCTATGGACCACAGAAATTATTTGGTCTGGCCCTGCCAAGGTATTAAGGGTAGGTTAATTAAATGTTTGACCAAATATAACAGACTAATTTTTAAGTTGATAATTTTGTATGACCTGAGAATGATGCTATAAATATCCAAATGGCCCTTGGCAGAAAAAGTTTTAGATAAAGGAAGTGGGAGGGAAGGCGAGAGAGGGAGAAGAATGGAAAGGGAGGGGGAGGGGGGGAAGGAGAGAGAGGGAGAGAAAGAGAGAAGAAGGAAGATGGATTTTCTTGTTCTGCTTATTTATGCATTCATGGTTGATGCTTGTATATGCCCAGAGAGGGGATCAAACCTGCAACCTTGGCATATGGCGATGATGCTCTAACCAACTGAGCTACCCAGCCAGGGCATACCTGAGATATTTCTATGGAGGTTAATGGAAAATGAGGACACATTTGTAATACCTTAACCAATAAAGAAATTTTAAAAAAAAATTATAGGTGGCCCAGCTAGTGTGGCTGAGTGTCAACCTATGAACCAGGAGGTCACGGTTTGAATCCCGGTTAGGGCACATGCCCGGGGTGTGAGCTCAATCCCCAGTAGAGGGCGTACAGGAGGCACCCAAAAAATGATTCTCATCACTGACGTTTCTATCCTCTCCCTCTCTAAAACCAATAAAAATATATTTTTACATTCTTTAAAAATTATAGGTGGTTTTAAATGCAATACCTAAGAGAAAGTCAATGCTTTGAGAAACAGTAGAAAAAATATGTTGTTCTTTCTTACATAAATGTTAAGAACACATTCTTTTGGCTACATGAGATTTAAGTATATCAGACATGCAGGAGGTAGCCCTTCATTTCAACTATAGCTCTTCAGAACAGGAGGTGTTCCCAGTCCCCTGAACAAAGCAATCAACAAACCAAACCAGGGAGAGACCAAGTACTTATGATGTACCTATTTACAACAAACCATCTCAACTTACCCCGAGATTCTAGTAGCCATATCCAATAAAATGCTTCTCCACTCTAACTGCTCAAATCTCCAAATCCGTGCTGTTCCATCTCTGCTACCACTTAAAAACCTTAAAATATACATAAGAGACCTCACACTCATATACATGCCACCAACAGCTACAGTTAAAATCAAAGCAAAAATAAATTTTAGCATAGCTATCTTGACTACAGATAAATCTATAGGTGTTAGTTAGGAGGCAAAGCTAAATGGAAAAAAAATCTTGATTTCTAGGATTTGCCTGGCTCTATGAAGTAAAGCACACTTCAAACTCAATCAATAGCTTGTGAAATAAACTGCGCTTTGAGAAGACAATAGCACCTGAAGGGGGGAAATAGGAAGAATAAAGGCCATGTGGGAAAATTAGTAGGAGCAAAAGCTCCTCCTAAGCCTCCTAACTCTAAGCTCAAATTCATTCATGCTGGCAACTGTAAAAATAATCTTTTAACATGTGTTAAAAACTGCAGGTTAGGAAAGGCACTTGAGAAACATTGGGAATTACAAAAAATATATATAATTTCAGTGATCATTTCATTGCAGGATATAGCACAGTCACTGATGAGAAAAGATTTAACTACTCAAACAAGGAATTTCACCTAATTTTTCTGTAAATCAAAAATTTAGCTGATGTAAGCAAAAGGAGACCTACATTTGGTCACAGGAGACAGCAGAAACAACAATTTTAAAACTTATATTTCATGTGTCTCCCACTGCCCCAGACACTTTTCATTCATACAGGGGTTGGCAAACGTAGGCTTAGAATTGTGAATGCAGGACACATTAGCTATACTAACATGTAACACAGTATATATGCCTAAAAACATACCCACAAATAAAAACACACTTACCGATCACCATTGTTACAAAATTGGATACTATCAACTTTATCCTAAATCAGGGCAAAAAAATAAACACATGTCATCATCAGCATAGTTTATAATCAAACAAAAAGAACAAAACGGTTTTAGAGCTAGAAGCACATTTGGTTTAAAGCAAGAGATTCGAACTTGTGCTGCTCAGCCTATCATTCAAACATGAATTACACATTTAAGTACAAAGACTCTTTATAAATCTAACAGGACTATTAAGACCCTCTTGTCTCAAAGACAGACACATGCAGTAAAATATCTGCATAAAAATTGACATCTCTATAAAGTCAAAATATAAAGCTTTAAGCACCTGAAAACAAGGCTGAATATGATTTGTTTTATGCTTATATGCAAAAAAAAAATTTTAATCCTCTCCAAGGATTTTTGTTTTTTAATCCTCACTAGAGAGTATTTTTTCCATTGACTTGTAGAAAGGTTGAAAGAGAGGGAGGGATGGGGAAAGAGAGAGACAGAGAGAAACATCAATGTGAGAGAGAGACATCAACTGGTTGCCTCCTGCACGCACCCTGACCCTTTGCTGAGAGAGCCAATGCTCTATCCACTGTGAGCAACACCCGCCAGGGCCCGAGGACTTTTTTTTTATTATTATTGCTTCTAGAGGCAGGTAGAGGGAGGAGAAGGAGGGAGAGCGGAAGGGAGAGAAAGAGGGGAAGAGCAATCAGTTGCCTCCCACACATGCCCAGACCAGAGATCGGGAACTGAACCCCCACAACCCTTTTGGTGCACAGGACAATACTCCAACCAAGCCACCCAGCTGCGGCTTTTTTTCTTTCAAAGTGATTTGAATATGTTTACCAAATAACCTCACAAAACTTAATTTAGGAGAAAACTTAACCTACTAAAACCAATAATCCAGAATACTGAGTTATCTATAATAATAAAAGCATAATATGCTAATTAGACCGGACAGCTGAACATCGTTCCGGACAAAGCCACAGTGGCTGCGAGGGCCAACGGCAGGCAGCCGTGGTGGCTGCAAAAGCCAAGGACAGGCAGCTGCTGCGGCCCGCGGCGTTGGGGTGATGGGGGTGGGCCTAAACTGTCTCAGTAGGGCATCCCCCGAGGGCTCCCAGACTGTGAGAGGGGGCAGGCCAGGCTGAGGGACCCCCACCCTCCAGTGCAAGAATTTTCATGCACCAGGCCTCTAGTACATTAATAACATAACATTCTGATTTCATAACCTAACATACTCAAATCAACTGTCATAATCAAGATTCTGACTTAGTCCTGGCCAGTGTGCTCAGTGGTTGGAGCATCGGCCTGCATATTGAAGGGTCTCGTGTTCGATTCCCAGCCAAGGGCATGTACCTCGGTTGCAGGTTTGTTCCCCTGCCCCAGTTGGGGTGCGTGCTGGAGGCAACCAATCGATGTGTTCTCTCCCATCAATCTTTCTCTCTCTCCCTCCTTTACTCTCTCCCTCTCTTTTCTCTTCCTCCTCCTTCCTTCCCTCCTTTCCACTCTCTCTAAAAATCAATGGAAAAAATATCCTCGGGTGAGGATATTTAAATACAATTCCTCCAATAATTAAGTTAAAATCTTAACCCAATTAATTCAATTATTTTAAAAATTCATATCAATTTGTCAGCAATATTTGACTATATACTAATAGGAATATTACTACAATTAATCTACAGAATTTTAAAACATGAATACTTACAGTGTGGCTTTCAAGTTCTGCGATTTTTTCAGGTGCTTCAAAACCCAAAAAATACATTCTGATTACATGATCAGTACTACCAGTGGCTAAAAACATACCACCTGAAATAAAAATGTTAAGGTTTAAAAATCCAGTTTATAACAAATATCTGCACAAACCAAAGTTCTATATTGAATTCAGCAAGATCTCTTATTCCAACAGTTTACCTCAACAGATCCATTTTCCAATTCACTATAGAAAGATATTTTAAAATTAATATAACACTGTAAAATTAGGTTTATAATAAGAAATATATATTTGCTCTTCGTCCCCATTATGGCACAGAGCTCCTAAAACCTTCGTAATTTCTTAAGTGACAAAAGTGATAAAGGTGTCTTGATAGTCTTAAACCCATTTCAACCACAACAGAGTTTACATTAACAAAGTGACTTTTAGAAAGCACCCGAGGAGGAGGGGGAGGGCTGACTGCCAGGAGAACCAGCCATGTGATTAGAGGATAGGAACTTTCAGTCCAACCTCTGGGGAGGGAGAAGGGAGTTTAAACAATCACCCTGGTCAATGACTTATTCAATTATGTCTATATAAGGAAGCCTCCACAAAAAACCAAAAGGACAGATTTCAGGGAGCTTAAAAGGAGGAATTCATGACAATACTCAGTAGGTCAGAAGCACAAGTGAGATAAGGAACGGGAGCATCATGTAGGACTGAGCCCATAACCTATGGCATCTCACTATTCTCTAGGTCAGGTGAGGAACACCTTTTTTCTGTCAATAATTATGATGGATAATTATAACACATTCACAGGCCAATACAAAATTATCAGCTTAAAAATTAGCCTGCTATATGTGGTAAACATTTAATTAACTCACCCCTAATGCCTTGGGCAAGGCCAACCAAATGATTCTGTGGCCTTATACAGCCCAAGGGCCAGAAGCTCCCCATCCCTGCTCTACGAAGATAGTATCTGAACTGGGTTCAACTGTAGGGAACCCAGCTGGAGTGAAAGAATTACTTGATGGTGCTGGGGGAAAAAATCAGATGGGGCTTTAATTTTTAAAAGTTAATATAGAAATGTTTGTTATTGCCCCATTTTATTAGTTGTGGCAAAGACCTTAAGTGCTGCTGCTCTAAAAAATGTTTGGCAAAAGGGGCTCTGCTTTCTAGACTTTACATACCTAAATCTAGCTATCTATATATGCGAAAGCCTAAGCGACCAAACAACCGAAAGCTATGATGCGCACTGACTACCAGGGGGCAGACACTCAATGCAGGAGCTGCCCTCTGGTGGTCAGTGTGATCTCTACAGCCAACCACCCTGTTCGCCCGCCAGGCCGAAGGACCTGACCCGTGCACCAGGCCTCTAGTGGAATATAAAGTTCACCTGCTGAAGTTTTCAGACTTTTATAGGGAAAACATCCTTGACCGCTCCTAAACAGAAACGTTAGCACACGAGTTCACTGTGCAAGAAAAGAAAATGGGGAATAATTTCACCAAGATGTGTGGAAAACAAATTTAAACTACCAAAAATATGCCATTTAGCCTGTTAAAGGAAAATCACAATTTTGGTATACACCTGGGGTACATGACTCAGGAACCACTGATGTGCACTCCTAGAGCTTCCTCTTCTACCACTGACTCTGATTACTACTCAACATCATAAAAAGGCAGAATGGGAGAGTGAAAGACAAGAAGGCGGCTAATGAAATGAACGTCACGGATTAAACCTAAAGAAATGAACATAAGTCATTTACCATCTCTCTGATATAGGCTTTTAGCAATAAGTGGTCATTCAATAAATGCTAAAGTTAAACTGAAACAAGTGCTTACCAACACTAAAAGAAGAACAAAGCATTTGAACGCCTGGTCTGGGCTTTTCAGTAAACTTCAAGGGACGTGCACTATAAAAGATGATGTTTTAAAATACATTAGTTATACACATTAACATGGTTTAAATATTGATTTTAAGCTAACTTTAAATATTATGATGTTATTTCTATAGTGCCTCACAGCATACCAAGTATTTCCACATATGCTATTATAGCTAGATGGATTTTAGAAGACTGTTCAATCCCCATCTTCACTGATCCTCTACACAGAAAGGGCAGGCCTACTAACCCCATCTTGTCACTGAGGTGACTGCAGCTCAGAGAGTCTAAGTCAGGGGTGGGCAAACTTTTTGACTCGAGGGCCACAATGGGTTCTTACACTGCACCGGAGGGCCGGAACAAAAGCATGGATGGAGTGTTTGTGTGAACTAATATAAATTCAAAGTAAACATCATCACATAAAAGGGCACGGTCTTTTTTTTTTTTTTTTTAGTTTTATTCATTTCAAACGGGCCGGATTCGGCCCGAGGGCCGTAGTTTGCCCACGGCTGGTCTAAGTGATCCCATTATCGAGGCTGCAGAGCATAAAACCACCAGGGTACAGACTGCCAACAAAAATGGAATGCAAGCCACACATGTAACTTTAAATTTTTTAGAAGTCACATTAAAAGTAAAAGGAGCCCTAGCTGGTTTTAACTCAGTGGATAGAGCATCAGCCTGCGGAATGAAGGGTCCCAAGTCTGATTATGGTCAAAGGCACATGCCCGGGTTGCCGCCTCAATCTCCAGTAGGGGGCATACAGGAGGCAGTCGATCAATGATTCTCTCTCATCATTGATGTTTCTCCCTCTCCCTTCCTCTCTGAAATCAATAAAAATATATATTTTTAAAAAGTAAAAGGAGATAAAACAATTTTATTTCATTTAACCCAATATATCCAAAATATCACATTAGTAACATTTTAATGAGAACTTTAGATATTCTTTTCTTCACATTAATTCTTTGAAATATTTCAGAGCATAATGAATACTTTTAATACACCTCAACTTGAACATTTTCATCAAATACTGTATTCAGTTTTCTTAAAACTTACAGCTGAAAAACTAAATTCACATACTCAAGTAGTTTGAAATATGCCTATAAGTTTTGTAATAATTAAATCAAGTATCAATATTTAAATCTAATTTAATTCAGGTCCTCAATAACACTAGCCACATCTGAAGTGCTTGATAGTCACATATGGCCAGCAGGTACTGTATTGGGACAGCACAGGTCCAAAACCCAGGGATTCTGATTCTTAAATGACCCTGCCTAAACTTCTATGTATGTAATTATACATTTCTAATACTTTTCAAAATCTTTCACACACATACTATCTCTTTTTTTCTTTCACAAAAATGTGCCCACTAACATAGAATAGCTATGCTTCTCTTATATATCCAACTATTTAAACAGCAAATTGTAAACAGTAAGTAGTCAATATGACATATATCCTGTATATAATAAAAATTAAGTTCAAAAGTAAAAAGCCAACCATAATCTATAATTTCTCTTTATAACCAAACTTCATTAGACTAAACCATAACAACATTAAAGAATACTTATTAACGATTAAAATCACTTACCTAAATTTCAAAGATTCTAAATCCCACTGCCAAAAACAAACTGTTCCGTCAGCACCAGTAGAAACCATGTATCTTTGAGAGCCTTTGGCCATTGGGCTAAACTAAAAAACAATAACATATACAACTCAGTTTCATGAGCTTCTACTAAAGTTGGAGTTTTTCAAAATTAACATCAACTGACTCTCTAAAATATAAGAAATCCAAAAATATAAGTGACACTATTGTAGTGAAAGCATAACCTATAAAAAAGTAAAAGTCTATCTGCCGGGAGCCGGTCCATCCTTGCTGTTTCAAGGGACCTGGCATATATGGCATACTGTTCTTAATATGTTTGCTCACCTTCTTGGCACTATGTGTTTTAACCAAGGTCTCTGAGAAAGGTTGTTTCCCCAGGTAGGGATTTTCCCCTGAAGTTAGGGAGGGAATAAAACCTCTTAACTAAGTGCCAGGTGGGTAATTAATCACTTTAACTACGAACAATCATGCTTAAGCTACATAATCTTTACTCCCTGGAATGGAGATAAGAAACGCCCTAACCTTTGGAATAGAGATTGATAGGATTGGAGTCAACTGGTATAAATACAGATGTAACAAGACAGAACCTACACACAGAACTTAGAATACAGAACCAAGAAGAGACAGAACCTAGGCACAGAACCTACACAGAACGTTCTCTAGAGACAGAAGAACTTCGCTGGAGAGAACATGGCAAAAGATCCTGGACAGAAACTGGCCACAGAACCTAGCGAGAGAACATGGCAAAAGATCCTGGACTGAACCTGACTACAGAAATTGGCAAGAGAACCTGACTAGAACCTGGTGACTGAACCTGGCTGGAGAACCTGGAGAGCCTAGCAAGAGAACATGGACACAGAACCTGGCTGGAGATCCTAAGCAGAACTTCGCTGGAGATCCAGACCAGAACTTGGCTGGAGATCCTGGCTAGAGATCCTGGCTAGGCTGCTGATCAACTGAACACTGTCTCCGTGTCCTTCCTTCTTTGCCGACTCCATCCACACCTTTGGGGACCCCTGGACCTGCTGGGGTTGGACCCCGGCATCTATCTCGCCCTGGCTGGTGTTAGTAAGTGATTAGAGCGGCAGCCTGTGCACTGAAGGGTTCAATTCCTGGTCAAGGATATGTACCTGGGTTGCAGGGTCAATCCTGGGACAAAATTGGGCACATGCAGGAGTCAGCTGATCAATGTGTCTCTCTCTCCCTGCCTTTCTCCCTCCCTCTCTTCCACTCTCTCTAAAAATCAATGGAAAAATATCTTCATGTGAGGATTAACAACAACAAAAAGTCAATTCTATGTCAAATTAACTTATAGATGTCATGTGATCTCAGTAAAAGATTATTTTCAAAACTAATAAACAGGAAGAGTCGGAAAAACATTTACAAAGAGAAAGTAAAGTATGGGGCGTGGCTACAGTGTTTGGACAGGTTCAAGCCTTGGACTAATGAGAGGGCACAGTCCTCTCGTGGCCACATGCAAGTCCCAGCTTGGATGGCAGAGCCTTCCCAGAACAATTAGCCAACAGCTGTAGCTGTAAGCTTGAACCTGTGGTCCGAACATGTGGCCCCACATGCCTGAGTGATAGAGTTCAGGTGCATGTAGTTGAATGGGATTTAATCCCACGAGAATGCTGTAAACATCTTGATCACACCCTTACTTTGCCTTGTGGCATCTGCTACAAAATAAAGACACGGCTGGTAGGTGCTGGCGCTGTCCATCAGAGGGGCAGCGTCCCACCAAGACCCAGCTTTCGTTCTCTTGTCTGTCTTTTCTAAGCCTTTCATCATCCCCACTCAGGGTCACTGAACCAGGCTGAGGTGGCATGAGTATGCCATGGCCGTGCCAGCTCCCCACAGTAAAGACCTAGCCCTGTCAATATGAAAGCACATCACCAAGCCTCAATAATCAAAACTATGGGCCACAGTAATTACATTGACAGAACAACCAGTGGAAAAAATATAAACTCCAAATTGGGCCCTAATATAAGACTTAAGTAAGATAAAGGTGCCAGCTCAAATCAGCTGGGCAAACAATGAATCTCTGCATAAATGGTCAAGGATTAACTGTAGATGAAAAAAGCTGGATCTATCCTCCAGACTGTACACAAGATAAATTCCAAGTGAATCACAATTTAAACATTTTTTTCAAACCCATAAACATAATACAAGAAAATGCAAAAATCATGCTAACTTTAGAATAGGACTGAGATTTGTATTAAATAAAATAACTGTGCTACACAAACAAGGTAGAGAAAAAAGTTTGACTTGGTCCAGAGATATCCAAGAAGGCTTAAAAGATGAAGAGGAAAACACAAAGAAAATAAGAAACACATACTAGGCAAAGAAATAATATGAACAAAAGTACAAACTTGATAGAGAATATGGTATATATGACAGCAATTGAAAGACCTATATGACTAAAGTGTTCATTTTTGGAAGCGGTGGTAAAATGAGTACAGAAGCTGGGCCCAATAACAGCACAAAGTAAGAGCTGCAGTTATCAAATAAAACATTAAAGGCAACAAAAAGATTTGTCTGATGGCAATATATAATATTGATTGAAAGGAAGCAGGTAAGATAAAGAGCCAAGAATCAATCCAAACAATCCAATTAATCTAGGAACCTTAACCTCGACCTTTCCTTCCCCCAGAATGGGGAGGAAAGCCAGGAAGAAACAAATGCAACTTGCTGACTCATGAGACATTCAAGACAAGGAGCTTAACAAAGAAAGACCAGTACTGCCACTAGCAGAAAAGAAAGAGGAAAAATAGGTTTTAAAGATTTTTAGACAATTCACATACTTATCATTATAACATCTCAGAGAGTATAGTTTTTAATCTATTTTGTTATTTTTATATACTTTGTAAGGGAGGCAGGATTTAACCTATGACTTCAAAGAAGTTTCTTCCAATCTCCGTCTCATCAAGTATACAAAATGAAGGGTTTAAATGATGAAAGTGACTATTTAAACTTAAGTTCTAGAATATGGACTAAAAATAAGCTTAAATATACTTCAGCAAATTTAATTAGCTTATCAAAATCCACAAATTTTAAGGTAGAAAAACCATTAACCTCTCACCAGTTTGTAATTGACTCATTCAGTTCAACCATAAACCAAAAGGAAGCAGTAAGTCATCCATTAAGCCTGCACTTAAATTAGCTCTAACCGAATTACATGTTTATTAAATCACCCTTCCAAGATTCATGGAAGTATGATTAATTACATATTTTTTCTTTATTACTAAATTTAAAATAGATACTTACTAAGCATTTTACTATTCCTTATCTCCAAAGAGAAAGAGTTTAAAAGAAAAAAAAGGAGACAGTATACAAATGTGCCCATGAACATGAGTTTACCTGTAAAGATGTAATTGACCCTGTGTGTCCCTGAAGCACAGCAACTGGGGCACAAGTTCTCAAGCACCACACTCTAATTATTTTATCACAGCTCCCTGCAGCAATCATTGTATTCTCATAGTTTACTGCCATATCTGAAATTTCTGCAGAATGACCCCTTAATGTGGATAATAGGCGGCCATTATGTGTTGACCAAATCTTCACCAAACAATCATCTGAACCCTAAGAAAAAAAATCCCAAAATAAATGTTAATACGGAAGTCTTTCTCATCATTTAAGAGTATCATTTACATGTCACTCAAATTATCTATAACTCCTCCTCTTTCCAACAGTAGAATTCTCTGTAGATTACAAGACTCATGCTGAGAACACTTATAAAGTTTTTTCTTCAAACCGAAGAATGCCTACATAAATATATTGTGAAGCTTTCATTTCTATGAATGAGATCACATTATAAATACTATCTTCCCAAAATTCTCTGCCAAGTAATAAGTCCAACTAAAAATTCATGGCTCGCCCAGCAAGTGTTGCTCAGTGGTTAGTGTTGGCCTGCACACTGCAGGGTTTCAGGTTCAAATCCCAGTCAGGGCGTATGCTGGAAGCAACCTATTTTGTCTCTCTCTCACATTGATGCTTTTGTCTCTTTATCTCTCTGTCTCCTTCCTTCTCCCCTCCATTCTACTCTCTCTAAAAATCCATGGAGCCGAGCCGGTGTGGCTTAGTGGTTGAGCATCAACCTATGAACCAGAAGGTCCTGGTTCGCTTCCCAGGCAGGGCACAAGCCTGGGTTGTGGGCTCAATCCCCAGTAGAGGGCAAGCAGGAGGCAGCCGATCAATGATTCTCTCTCATCATTGATGTTTCTATCTCTCCCTCTCCCTTCCTCTCTGAAATCAATAAAAATGTATTTTTTTAAAAATCAATGGAAAAAAAATCCTTGGATGAGGATTAAAAAATAAAAAGTTCATTGCTCGCCTATTTCAATGAACAATGGTTAAGTGTCAGTTTAGTTCACATCAAGGTACATAATTTGGTAAGTATTAGGACAGATTTACATTTCACAGGCTGAAATACAAGAGTAGTTGTTCCCTGGCCAACGAGCTCAGTGGTTGAGTGTTGACCTATGAACCAGAAGGTCATGAGTTCAACTCCCAGTCAGGGCACACGCTCAGGTTGCAGGCTTGATTCCCAGTGTGGGTCATGATGGAGGCAGCCGGTCAATGATTCTCTCCCATCATGGACGTTTCTATCTCTCTCTCCCTCTCCCTTCCTCTCTGAAATCAATAAAATATATAGATTTTTTAAAAAAGAGTAGTTGTTCCCAAAAATAACTAAAAAATAATGGAATAGCACCCTCATTTTAAATAACCAAACAACAGAGTCAAAACTTATAGTACCAGCCAACATCCATCCATTCCATAAATATTTGAGTTGAGCAGTGGTTCTCAACCTTCTGGCCCTTTAAATACAGTTCCTCATGTTGTGACCCAACCATAAAATTATTTTCGTTGCTACTTCATAACTGTAATGTTGTTACTGTTATGAATCGTCATGTAAATATCTGATATTCAGGATGGTCTTAGGCGACCCCTGTGAAAGGATCATTCGACTGCCAAAGGGGTCGCGACCCACAGGTTGAGAACCGCTGGAGTAGAGTATCTACTTTGAAGCTCACAACTGAGAAATAAAATTTGAACAAGAAGTCCACCCTAATTTTCCCTTAAAACATTAAAAATATAAATTAAATTCCAAATAGTTACATATAGTTTTATAATAATTATAAAATAATATTTCAGTGTTTAAGTAATCAATTCCCCTGGATTGGTGAGTACTCAATGTGAATATGAGTTATGAATCGCCTGTAGAGAGTTGGATATTGGTGGGAGGGATTTGGGTTTGATTTTGGTTAGTACACATAGTAGAAATTAATCTAACTGAGTAGGTCTAAAATGGGCTAAAAAGTATTAGGAATACATAAGCATCCTTGACGATAATGCCCAAGAACCACTGCTCTAAATCAATGTCTCACAACCACCACACAAGACCTATCTGCATCTGAATCACTTGGGAAACTAAATAAAAATGCAGATATAGCCCAGCTGGTGTGGGTCAGTGGTTGAGCATTGACCCATGAACCAAGAGGTTACTGGGGTTCAATTCAGTCAGGGCACATGCCCAGGTTTCAGGCTTGCTCCCCAATAGGGTCATACAGGAGGCAGCTGATGGATGTTTCTCTCTCAATGTTTTTCTCTCTCTAAAATCAATAAAAACATTTTTTTAGAAAGGCAAATCTGCCCAGCCAGCGTGGCTCGGTGGCTGAGCATCGAGCTGTGAACCAGGAGGTCACGGTTCAAGTCCCGGTCAGGGCACATGCCCCAGTTTCGGGCTTAATCCCCGGTGTGAGGCGTACAGGAGGCAGCCAATCAATGATTCTCTCCCATCATTGATGTTTCTATCTCTCTCTGTCCCTCTCCCTTCCTCTCTGAAATCAATAAAAACATATTTTTTTAAAAAGGCAAATTTATGGGCCCACACTGGACCTACTGAGTCAAAATCCTGAGAAAGGGAAACATGGAATCTATGTATTTTATAAGACTTCTTCAAAGATTCTGGTGAACACCAAAGTGCGCCAGATGATAACAAATGGAGTTTAAAATATTAACTCACTGTAAAGATTCTATGTCCTGTCCTATCAAATGCTACACAGTAAACAGCAGATAGATGTCCAAGAATCCTTCTGTGCATTTTTATATGCTGGTACATGGTTCCTGGAAATGCTGTGCTAAAAGTGGAACACCCTGTGAGTTGTTTGCCTCGATGTATCTCCACTAGGAAACAAAAACAACAAAAATGGTTAAGAGGGTGCCAGTATGTAAAAAGCTAAGAACTCCAAAACAAAAGCCTATGTTCAAAAAACAAGGACCCAAGTTTCTCTCCAGTTCTGTTCTCCTACAATCACTGGTACAGACTTTTTTACAAATAATTTTATTATTTGTTATAATAAAATTGTTTTTCATTCATTTTTATTACTTTTAGTAATTATTTTAGAAAAACAAATGTGAAAATTGATCCTTGTTGCTACTAAAACAACATACTACCACCAGTATTTACTTTTACATGTTAGCAAAGCAGTTACAAAATTGGTCAAGAAATTAAAAGAATGGTATCAGAATTTGAAAGGCCAGCCTCACTTACCAAGACTTGGTGGGTAACCGTAATTCACTGGCATTTCAGGAGGTCTTCCTCTATGAAGAGCAGCAAAGGCAGAGCCCTTCCAAACTGTGTGCCTGCAGTCTTTAAAATGAATTTTAGATACACATAAAATCTTGAAAGTTAACCCCAAAAAAGATTTTATAGAATACTTACGTATATTTTAATAAACTGTTTATTCAAAGTTTTACCAACTAATAATATACTTTAACAGAAAGTCCCTAGAAGTTTATTAGACTATTTCTGAAGGGGGGAAAAATTTAAGACATCTCAGATACAACAACAACTAACATTGTGTAGCACTTTACAATTTACAAAGTGCTTTCCACATACATTATCTCATGGAATCCTCACAACAACCCTGTGAGGTAGGTATTAATCGCCAATTTACAAGTGAGGTAACTGAGGCTCAAAGGTTCCAGGACCTTTAAAGAGATCCACTACAAATGATCAGTCAAGATGGGCCACAAAACCAGGTCTTTTGACTCCAAGTCCCATTCAATGCCAAATAAGTTTTTATTTTTCAATGTGGAATTATTCCATACAATAGTAACAATAAAAAGTCTTCATCACAACTGATTCAACTTTCCAAAAATGGAAATTTTTGTAGGGAAAGTTTTAAGTCTTTGATTTTCATGAAAATCCTTGATTTAACTGTTTAAATGTTACTGGCTTTTAAAATTAACGTTGGCCAATATTACCATGACTTTAATCTCCTCCGGAAATATTGACAAAATTAAAATGGCTTTCCTCTTGTTTACGGGTCATGGCTGAATTTTACACAAGAGCATAAATGTAGAATCTGTGAGTCTGAACACTAACCCTAATTGCCCATCCCCCTTTGACCTACCAGTGAATATACCAAGAAAAAACATCTGCCCCTCTGTAGGAGGAAGCAGCAGAGCACAGACTCTGCTGTGCCAGAAATTAGCTTCTTCACAACTGAAAGAGGATGGGAAGAAAGGCATCCTGCTAAACCTCCACTGAGCCTCGGGTGCCCCAAACAAACAGGCATATTATGTTTTACATGAACGGATTCATTACCACTATCATGATCAAAGAGCAGTTACTAGGCATCCTCCGTGGCACTAGTGCAAAACAAACAGAGAAATATAGTCCCTACCCCTAGGACAGCTTGGTGAAGTCTCTTCTAAGGTCTGCCAGTTCTAAAGCAGTGCTCATCACAAAATGACATTGAGCTTGACACAAGTTAAGAAAACAGGCTACCCAGGCAACCACTATATAACAACCTAAAACAGAATAATTACAAGGTGAATGGGAACACAGAAGAAAGAAGAATATGAACAGTTTCCTGATTCAAGCCACAGTGTGGCATAGCCATAGAGCACTAAGAAACAACTAAAGCTGACAAACCGGTCTGGCATGGAACCAAGAGGGGAGACTGGTTCTCTCTCAGGCAAGCTTTATACTGGTGGTACATCTAAAAGGCAGCATCACGTGAGCAAGAGATCTTAAAAATAATCACGGGGATGAACTTGAGGTATGCTCAAGATCAGAAGAGCCAACATTCTTGCCATTTGCAGTTAAGCCACGTTGTATACATAGATCATATCACATACATGTACTTAGTCTGAGTGATTTATACCACACTAACAGAGAAAGAACAGCAATTCCAACAGTTTGCTACCACATAACTTAGCAAAAAAATTAAGTTGGTGAAAAAAGAACCATGCAATTACACATTTTGGGTGCTTTTTTTCAAACTGCTACCAAATTTAGAAAATCACTTCCCCTTTATAACAAAGGGCTTTCAAAGATCTAAATATCAAATGAAATAATTCTAGCATTTAAAGAGTTTATTAGACACATACAATTACATTCAATGAAGTTATAAGTGAGCTACAAATAGAAAATTAAGAACTCACATTGATAAAACCTCAAACACATCTCTGAATAAATTCAAACTTTTTAGCTTAACATCTATACCTTCATTTTTTTTAATGCAGAAGGACCCATTAAACACTTACGCAATAAAATTCAATGTCTATGCTAAATGCAGAGAATTTTATGTTTATAGTCCACAGCATGGTATATTGTTACATATCACCTTTCTTCCACAATGCTCACGTTACTTCACAATTATAATTATTAAGCTAGTAATACAAAGCAGAACACTTCTTCAAATTAAGGTACCTTTTGCTGTACGTAGCAAAGACTGCCTTCCTGCACCAAGTAAAGAAGTGACTCTTGAAATACTGGGTGGAATTTCTTTATCCAACATGGGACCGATGCGCTGGCAGATTTGCAACAGATGATCAGGAGCCACATGCTTATTGGACAAGACCTGAGTGGAGAGCAAGTTTCAAAAGCATTTTATAACAGTACCAAAAATATTAAATACTTAGGAAAAGTCTGGCAAAACGTGAAAACCATGTACAATGAAAACGATAAAACATTACTAAAAGAAATTAAAGAAGATTTAAATAAACAGTAAATTGATGTACAGAGTCAAAGCTATCCCAATCAAAATCCAGGCATGTTTTTTGTAGAAATTGACAATTGCAATCTAAAATTCATATGCAAATGCAATGGCCTAGAAAAGCCAAAGTACCTTTAAAAAAAAAAGTTAAAAGAGTTAACAATATCTGACTTCATAGCTTGTTATATAAGGATGACTGATTTTTGATAAAGGTTCAAAGGAGAAAAGATAATCTTTTGAACAAATGGTGCTGAAATAAATGGATATCCATTGTCAAAAATACTAACTACGATCCAACATCATATCATAAACAAAAATATCTCAAGGCAGATCACTGATTTAAAAGTATAATCTAAAGCCATAAAACTTATATAATAAAACACTGGAAAAATCTTTATGACGTTAGATTAGGCAAATATTTCTAATGACACCAAAAGCACAATCCACAAAAACAAATTAATAAATTGGACTTCATCCAAACAAACTTCGGTTTTTTTCAAAAGGCACTGTTAATGAATGAAAAGACGACCCACAGACTAAAAGAATGTATTTGCAAATCACTTATCTAAAAAGGACTTGCAAAATTCAATAATTTAAAAAAAAAAAACCCTTTTAAAAATGAGCAAAAGATTTGAACACTTCACCAAAGAAGATACACAGATGGCAAATAAACACATGAAACGATACTCAACATCATTGGTAACTAATGAATACAAAATAAAATCATGAGATATCATGTGTGCAGGGAGGCAACAAGTGACAGAACACCCAATCACACACCCTAGGGATGACTCATAGTCTGAGTGTCACCTTGGGAAGTGCCTTGAAAGCGTCACACATAATTCCAATTTTATCAGTGGGTGCCCCCCCCTGAGGGAGCACCCGAATGAGTGGTTCCCAGAAGCTAGTAAAACACCAGACTCCTGCCTGGCACCACTTGGGGGGGTGGGGGGGCGGGGACAAGCTCAGACACACCCCACCGGTGACCAGGGGTTTCACCTCCAGAAAGACAGGAGCACCGGGTGACCCCCTCCCATTGAAAGGACCATGGTGCAGTGGGGCAGGGGGTTGGGGTAAAGTCTGTGGGAGAACAGCCAGGTCTCCTGACTCCCAGCGGGCCCAGTCATCCCTAAACTTCCAAGAGGGAGTATCACTTTTTAGTTACACCCTTATAGAAAAGCCACTTCAAACATTTACATGTAAATACAGGCAAATGTAAAGACTTAAAATTGAGGCTCTACCAGAGGTCTTTTCCAAACAGATGTCTCTCAATTTGGAACCAGCTTCAAGTATACCAATGATAACACAACAGACTTATACCAGATAAAAGTGGGTAGGACACTCTCCTGGAGTCCCAGCCCTACAACTAACTAGTTATGGAATCTTGGACAAGGTATTTTCTAAGACCCCAATTCTTATTCAAAAGTAACAATAGGCAAAATTATGTGCTTACAAATTACAAGATACACACCTAAGTAGTTTAAGGTTTTGACTAATTCCTCTCTACATTAATGATAATAGCTAACATTTACATAGTGATTACAGACACTAAGAACTTTATATATACTAACTTATTATACCTCCCAACTATTTATTCTCATTTTACAGATATAAACACACAAGGCACAGGCATTAAATAATCTGCCCAGAATCAAGAGCTACTAGTAAATGGCAAAGCTAAAAATATAAACCCAAGCTGTCTAGTTCTGCAACTCTCCATCATTGGATCATTGTAATCATCTCTACTACATCTTAATAAAAGTAGTCAGTAATGAAATAATCAAGCAATATCGTAAGACTTCTAGAGTCCAAGTGGCCTCAAAATATTTAAAGTCAAATATGTGCAAATGGATTAAAATCAATATAGAATTTTTTCTAATCAGTTAGATTTTTCACATTCAAATCTCATATATCTAATGCAACAGAAATACTAAAATGAGTCTCAGTCTAATTCTTAAGTAATAATGCATGCATAATTCATCCTGCACTGCTATAGTTATTGCATAATTGTAACACAGAAGCCTTGTGTTCAAAATGCCACTTTCAATTTCTATTCAAAAAAAGATAGTAGCTCTGACCAGGTTGCTCAGTTGGTTAGAGCAGCATCCTGATATGCCAAGGTGGTGGATTCGATCCCCCCTCAGAGAACATATAAGAATCAACCAATGGCCCTGGCCAGTTTGGCTCAGTGGATGGAGCATTGGCCTGGGGACTGAAGGGTCCCTGATTTGGCCAGGTTTCGGGCAATGCCCCGTTCAGGAGGCAGCTGATCAATGATTCTCATCACTGATGTTTCTCTCTCTCCCCCTCTCCCTTCCTCTCTGGAAAAAAAAAAAAAAAAGACTTTGAACCCAGTTGGCGGGAGTGGCGGCTGGGACAGGGGCTTTGGCAGCGGCTGCAGGCTTGAATCTGGGCTGGTCTGCAATGGAGCCCACCGCAGGGAGAGAGAAGGAGAGTGGAGCAGGCACGGCTACAGGGAAATGCGTGAATAGGATCTTGGTGCCAAGACCTCCCTCCATTGAGGACTTCACCTAGTGAAGCCCATTAGCCGTGGCACCTTTGGGAAGGTGTATCTAGTACAGAAAGGTGGCAAGTTGTATGCAGCCGAGGTTGTCAAAAAAGCAAACATGATCAACAAAAAAATGACTTATCGGGTACAAGCTGAGAGGGATGCACTGGCCCTAAGCAAAAGTCCTTTCATTGTCCATTTGTACTATTCCCTGCAGTCAGCAAACAATGTCTACTTGCTAATGGAAAACCTTATTGGTGATGTCAAATCTCTCCTACATATATATGGTGATTTTGATGAAAAGATGGCTGTGAAATATATTTCTGAAGGGGTACTGGCCTAGATTACCTTCATAGACATGGAATCATTCACAGGGATTTGAAACCAGACAATATGCTTATTTCTAATGAAGATCATACTAAACTAACTGATTTTGGCCTTTCCAAAGTTTACTTTGAACAGAGCTATCAATATGATGGCTAGCACCATCATTGGCTAAGCCTAGTTATAGGTTTATAACACCATCAATGGCTAAATCTAGTTATAGGTTTATAACACCATCAATGGCTAAACCTAGTTATAGGTTTATAACACCATCATTGGCTAAACCTAGTTATAGGTTTATAACACCATCAATGGCCAAACCTAGTTATAGGTTTATAACACCATCAATGGCCAAACCTAGTTGTAGGTTTATAACACCATCAATGGCCAAACCTAGTTGTAGGTTTATAACACCATCAATGGCCAAACCTAGTTGTAGGTTTATAACACCATCAATGGCTAAACCTAGTTGTAGGTTTATAACACCATCAATGGCTAAACCTAGTTGTAGGTTTATAACACCATCAATGGCTAAACCTAGTTGTAGGTTTATAACACCATCAATGGCTAAAACTAGTTGTAGGTTTATAACCCCATCAATGGCTAAACCTAGTTGTATGTTTATAACACCATCAATGGCTAAACCTAGTTGTAGGTTTATAACACCATCAATGGCTAAACCTAGTTGTAGGTTTATAACACCATCATTGGCTAAACCTAGTTGTAGGTTTATAACACCATCATTGGCTAAACCTAGTTATAGGTTTATAACACCATCAATGGCTAAACCTAGTTATAGGTTTATAACACCATCAATGGCTAAGCCTAGTTGTAGGTTTATAACACCATCAATGGCTAAGCCTAGTTGTAGGTTTATAACACCAGCAATGGCTAAGCCTAGTTGTAGGTTTATAACACCATCAATGGCTAAGCCTAGTTGTAGGTTTATAACACCATCAATGGCTAAGCCTAGTTGTAGGTTTATAACACCATCAATGGCTAAACCTAGTTGTAGGTTTATAACACCATCAATGGCTAAGCCTAGTTGTAGGTTTATAACACCATCAATGGCTAAGCCTAGTTGTAGGTTTATAACACCATCAATGGCTAAACCTAGTTGTAGGTTTATAACACCATCAATGGCCAAACCTAGTTGTAGGTTTATAACACCATCAATGGCTAAGCCTAGTTATAGGTTTATAACACCATCAATGGCTAAGCCTAGTTGTAGGTTTATAACACCATCAATGGCTAAACCTAGTTGTAGGTTTATAACACCATCAATGGCCAAACCTAGTTATAGGTTTATAACACCATCAATGGCTAAACCTAGTTATAGGTTTATAACACCATCATTGGCTAAACCTAGTTGTAGGTTTATAACACCATCAATGGCTAAACCTAGTTATAGGTTTATAACACCATCAATGGCCAAACCTAGGCAAGATTATCCAAGAACACCAGGACAAATATTATCTCTCATCAGCTCTTTGGGTTTTCACCCACCAGTTGAAGAAAAAGTCAAGACTGCAAAGATTCTTTCAGCCCATGTATCTGAAACATCACAGCTTTCTCAAGGACAAATTTGTAGAACAAAAGGACAGTACTCCTTATTCTAGCAAACTACTAAAATCATTTCCCACCCTGCTTCGCCCAGGCCTTCACCACCCTATTTCTGTGTCCATAGGTCTTGGAACAGTTGCCTCCAACCCCAGAATGCCAGGAGAGTGTCTAACTTCTAACCTACTCCAGTCTAGGAAAAGGCTGGCTACCTCCAGTGCCAGTAGTCAGTCCTACACTTTTGTATCCAGTATGGAATCTGAATGCCACAGCAGTCCTACATGGGAAAAAGATTGCCAGGTTAGAGTGAAATTTATCTTAACCATAACCAATTATGTATGTGAAATTAATGATGGAAACACTTTTTACCTTTTCATTTAAATTCCGTATGGAAATGTGTTAAGTGAACAGCAGTAAAGTTACTCTCCATTTTCCTGTACATCCTGACAAATTCTCTTGAAATATTTTACTT